TAATTAGTTTACAATTTTTTGTTACCTTTGTATAAAAAGAGGAAAAATATATTATATGTATGTTTTTACTATAGCAAATCTTTCATATTTGGCTTTTTAATTAAAGTTAGTGATTCTATTAAACAGAGTTTTTGGAAAGGTTCCAATTTAACCTGTTAATAAAACAAATTTTTTTAATTTTATTTACTTAATTGCTAGACTTTAAATATTCAAATTTTGAATTTAATATTTTATTAAAGAATTATATTATCAATTTATAATATGTATGTAATTATTGAAAAAAGTCAATTTCTATATCTTTTCTAGTTCTACTTTATATGTTACTAAAAACTCCGATTATATTTTATTGTTTCTCTTCTTAAAATTTCATATGTACTCTATCTTATTTCTTCAGCTTACATAAACCTTTTCACATTTTCTAATATTCTACAAATGAATTCCTATCTGTATTCTTCCTTCTTAAAAATAAATTAAAATCATAAGAATTTCAACTACTAGATAGATTTAGACATTTAATTCCTAGGAATTAAAATAAATTTAATTTTGGATTCCTTGTTTATATGGCTAATAAAAATCAAATCTTCATTATTATTTGCAATTTATCTTAACTTGATTAATATTTAATATTTAATTAAATCAAAAAATTTATAATAAAGTTAATCTAGGTATTAAACACTTAAGTTAACAATTTCAACTTTTCAGGAAGATAGCTTAAGTAAAAAGGAATAACAGAAATAAAAAATATTTCCAAAAGTATAAAAATTATTTTTCTTTATAAAAAGAAAGGAAGTGTTGTTTGTTTAAGAAGATAATATCAAAAATACTATTTTATTAAATATTATAGGATAATTATAATGTATATTTTATTAATGATGCCTAAATATATTCATTTCATATTTTTTAATTCCTTAATTAATTGTCTAAACTTATTTTATTCTAATTTGCAATAAAAAAGTGCTTGCTAATAATTATCTATGGCTTATTAATATTTATTCAATTACTTTAGTAAATAACCTAATAATATCAAATAAATTGATTAACCTTTATTAATATAGGCTGATGCATCATTAGGATCTAGTTGGATTGCTTTATCATAGCAATCAATAGCATCGTTATATTTTTTTAGATTTTTTAAGGACTTGCCTATTAATATCAAATAAATTGATTAACCTTTATTATTATAGGCTGATGCATTATTCGGATCTAGTTGAATTGTTTTATCATAGCAATCAATTGCATCGTTATATTTTTTTAGATTTTTTAAGGACTTTCCTATTAACATCAAAAAATTGATTGACCTTTATTAATATAAGCTATTGTATCATTAGGATCTAGTTGGATTGCTTTATCATAACAATCAATTGCATCGTTATATTATTTTAAATCATATAAGGAATTGCCTATTAAAATCAAATAAATTGATTAACCTTTATTGAAATATACTAATGCATCATTAGGATCTAGTTGGATTGCTTTATCATAACAATCAATAGCATCGTTATATTATTTTAAATCATCTAAGGAATTGCCTATTAAAAACAAATAAATTGATTAACCTTTATTATTATAGGCTGATGCATTATTTGGATCTAGTTAGATTGCTTTATCATAGCAATCAATAGCATCATTATATTATTTTAAATCATCTAAGGAATTGCCTATTAAAATCAAATAAATTGATCAACCTTTATTGAAATATACTAATGCATCATTAGGATCTAGTTGGATTGCTTTATCATAACAATCAATAGCATCGTTATATTATTTTAAATCATATAAGGAATTGCCTATTAATATCAAATAAATTGATTAACCTTTATTAATATAGGCTATTGTATCATTAGGATCTAGTTGGATTGCGTTATCATAACAATCAATTGCATCGTTATATTTACCTAGTCTTTATAATGAATAACCTTAAATTATAAAACTAGTAAACTACCCTTCTACACATAACCAATAGAATATTTGTAATCTTAATTTAGTGCATTTTCAATGCACTAAATTGCTTATGAATTTTAATTCAATGAATATAAAGAAAAGCCTGTTGTACATAATATATGATTACTTTTTCTATATAATGCATGTAGATGTTAAGGTTCTTCTATCAAAACTTTTTCACATTACTAAATTGCTTCTTGATATTTCTTTTCTTCATTTAATGCATAGCCTATTGAAATTATTGATTTCATTAACTTTTTGCAATTAAAACAAATGAATTTTATGGATTTTATGTTAGTTCTAGATTTGAATAATCCAAAAGATCTGTATATAGGTTACTATTAATCTATCTAGCTTATTCTCTCTTTTTTATACCTTTTGCTAGTTGATTCATTTCAATTAAAGCCATACCTTAATTATATAAATATTTTAGAAGTACTTTAAAAGAAAGTTGCAAATGATTTTTGTTTTTCTACTAATTTTAAGTATTAATTTATTTTTTCATTAGCCTCCTACCATTTCTTTTGATTTAATAATTCTATTCCTAATATATAATTTGAAAGAAATCTAATACCTTACTCAAGTGTAATTTCATTAAATTGTTTAATATCTTTAATTTATTATTATTCTTTATCTAAATCAAAAGCTTGAATCATTCTTTTTATACTAATTAATTAAGTTCCTATAAATATTAATAATGTAAAAATACCAATTTAATTTTACTTAATGATCTCCTCTTAATTATTTGAAAATTGATAGCATTCCTTAATTATTAATAAATTGTCTCTGATTTATTTATAATCTTGTTAACTTAAATATTCAGATATCTTTAATAATTATATTTTTATTTTCTCCAATTATTTTATGAATTCTTCATATTTTATTTTGACTAATTAATAGGATTTATTCAATTAAGTAGTTAATTCAAGTATATACTAATCGAATTTAGTGATAAAACTTTAAATCTAACCAAATCCTTTTAGATCTCTCTTGCAATTAGTATGTTTCTTTGGATCAAATCCACATTAAAGACAGAATTAAGATCTTGCATCTTAACATTCAAAATTTAAACAAAACCCTTGTATGGCTTCACTTTCATGTGCTATATCTTAACACGTAAACTATTTCAATTAATTCATTAATATAAAATTTAATCAATAACATAAAATAAAATTAAGAATTTCCATTTTTATTCAATTCAACTATAAATTTCAATTTTAAATCAATTTTATCAATACTTATCAAAATTCTCATACAAACCTCTAATATCAAATCAATTTTTAGTTTATAATCAAATTATTACTTCTTTAAAATTTGATTTTGTGAAATTAATCTTCTAACATATGTATTTTTCCCTTCGTTTTTGAACTGAGCAAATACATATATTTATAAAAATAATCAAGTGCTTCTTGAATAAAGGTTAATTTAATAAAAAAATAAAATAGCTTGATACATGATTTTAGGATAGAAGTTCATAGAGTAGCTATTATAGGATCACAATAAAAATAGGAATACAACTTAAAAGTATTTAAATGATGGCGATTCCTCAGATTTTAAATTCAAAAAGGGCATAGTTTAACTGAAGAAAATGTAAGCCATAATAATCACTTTAGGCTCAAAGATTAAAGAATGGATATCAATAAGAGAAACATTTATCTTATTATGTTTTTTTTTGTTATTATATAGAACAATGAAGTTATTTAAACCTTGGATTTTTTTAATTTTGAAAAATAGAAAGTAGAATATCAGCTTAGCCTTCATTCCTTAGCAACCTTTCAACCGAGTTTAACCATAATTGGATTTAAAAAAGAAAAGAGATACATACTTACTTAGTGGTCTTGGTCAAAACCAAACTAATCATTTTAAGTAAATTTCGTTTATTTAGAAATATAAGAATGAATTTAAAAAAATAGAAATCTAATTTCAATAAAAAAATGATTTGCAAGAAAAATCAAACAAAATATTGAAATTTTCTTGGAATCTGATATTACCTTAATATTTATATAGAATTATTTTTGAAATTTAAATTGGCAATAACCCTTTTAAATGAATAAGCATTTTACTAGGCTGTATAATATTTATCCTCTGTTTTAAATGGCATACATACAATTATTTGACATCTATTTTGCGAATACTTGGGGTGCTCTAATATACAATTGATGAAGTCATTTATCGAAAATATTTGCATGATAGGTTTCTGAGAATTAAATACATTACTATTTACTTTTCAGGTTAGAAATATTTAGTAATTTCTTTGAAAATGGATTTCGTTAAAGTATAATTATTCAAGAAAAATAATTAAAGTACTAAAAGTTTCTCACTAATTTATCAGTTTGAAAGCTCATGATTTTTAATTGAGAGAGATATTAAAAGAATTTCTACTTTTAACAAATTAATAATAAGCTTGAAATTTTAGAATGCTCATAAGCAATTAATCATGCCTAAGCTTTGTGTTTTGATAAAATATAATGACCTACATAATAAGAATCAATACTAATATAATATTCTCTAATTGTAATTTATTTATTTTTTATTTTATAATGTATAAGATGACTTATTTATACTTCAAAAAATATTGAAAAATAGAAAACAAAATTATTGATCATTCTATCATAAAAAGAGTAAATATTCAAGTTTCTTATTGTCCTCCTTATACTAAGATTTAGATATTATTTTATTTTTAATCCCATGTTACTAAGAATTCTCCATTATCACTAATTGTGCCATAAGTATTCATTGTACCAAAGTTGATTGCTTATTCTAAATTACATTCCAAATCAGATTTAGAGGATGAGAATTTGAATCTAATAAAGTTTAAATAATGACCATTTTTAGATAATAAAAGGTTGATCGAATTAATGTATAATTAAGGAAAATAAGGTCTGCAGGGTTACCCACCACCTTAAACCAATACTGTTTTTGATTTTAAATACTATTCTTTTTGAGTATTGTAAATATAAATATGAATATGAGCTGATCCCTATAATTGAGGAGCTGTTTCTATAGGTTAAAATGTAAAAACATGATTATTTATAAAACATAATCTATATCCCCATTAATCTACTGATATTCTTTATCTAATATTCCATTATGTTTTATTAGAGCCTTCCATCACTAATATTTAAAAATCACTAGCACAAGAGAGCAATTTAGTACCTTCTTGATTAATTGATAATCCAAAAATTGTAGATGTATGTTCTTCAATAGTCTATAAACATGTCCATGATAAAGAAGGTTAAGTTGATGGAGGAGACCAAAATTTTATCTTCTTATCTTAAGACCCACTAATAATAAGATCTTCTGATGAAGTTAGTAAAACTAAACATGTGATACTATTTGTATGTTCTTTTAGTATACATTATACTTCCCACTTAGATGGTATTGTAAATTCGAATGAATTAAGGGGTGACCAAATAATAATAGTATTATCATCTGAACCTGAGATAAATGAATTTCTCATTGATGGAGTTTTTTTGAAAAACATAAGAGAAGACACAAAATCCGAATGTTTACCTTTAAGTATTTCAATTTATCTAATAGATTATGTTGTTCTTGTAGCTGGATAGGCTTCTTATTATGAAAGAAGTGGTAAAATGATCTAAATGACTTTGATATTTGATTCAGCTGCAGCAATAATCAAAGTATTGTCATGATTGATAGCTATTGCTCTGCATAATTCTAAGTATCTATTAGGGTATAGTTCACGATAGAAGTATTTATTAAATCTACAGACTTGATTTTATTTCATAAAATTAATATAACAGGATGAATTTGATAACTCAAATATATGATAAAAAATATTTAAATTTAGATAGAAATTATCATTTCTTTTTAGTAGATGATAATTTTAGAACTAGATTTTATCTTCATAGATGAAAATAGTACTTTTTATTTTGGACTCTAATTAGTTTTATTTAATATAAATTTTATTATAATGTAAACATTTGTTTCTTAATAAGATAACTATCTTATTTAATTTGCTAGTATTCTATTTAAATTTCCTCTATAAAAATTCTTAGAAAAAATTTTTATAAAAATTGATTATATAAATAAAATNTGTATAAGATGACTTATTTATACTTCAAAAAATATTGAAAAATAGAAAACAAAATTATTGATCATTCTATCATAAAAAGAGTAAATATTCAAGTTTCTTATTGTCCTCCTTATACTAAGATTTAGATATTATTTTATTTTTAATCCCATGTTACTAAGAATTCTCCATTATCACTAATTGTGCCATAAGTATTCATTGTACCAAAGTTGATTGCTTATTCTAAATTACATTCCAAATCAGATTTAGAGGATGAGAATTTGAATCTAATAAAGTTTAAATAATGACCATTTTTAGATAATAAAAGGTTGATCGAATTAATGTATAATTAAGGAAAATAAGGTCTGCAGGGTTACCCACCACCTTAAACCAATACTGTTTTTGATTTTAAATACTATTCTTTTTGAGTATTGTAAATATAAATATGAATATGAGCTGATCCCTATAATTGAGGAGCTGTTTCTATAGGTTAAAATGTAAAAACATGATTATTTATAAAACATAATCTATATCCCCATTAATCTACTGATATTCTTTATCTAATATTCCATTATGTTTTATTAGAGCCTTCCATCACTAATATTTAAAAATCACTAGCACAAGAGAGCAATTTAGTACCTTCTTGATTAATTGATAATCCAAAAATTGTAGATGTATGTTCTTCAATAGTCTATAAACATGTCCATGATAAAGAAGGTTAAGTTGATGGAGGAGACCAAAATTTTATCTTCTTATCTTAAGACCCACTAATAATAAGATCTTCTGATGAAGTTAGTAAAACTAAACATGTGATACTATTTGTATGTTCTTTTAGTATACATTATACTTCCCACTTAGATGGTATTGTAAATTCGAATGAATTAAGGGGTGACCAAATAATAATAGTATTATCATCTGAACCTGAGATAAATGAATTTCTCATTGATGGAGTTTTTTTGAAAAACATAAGAGAAGACACAAAATCCGAATGTTTACCTTTAAGTATTTCAATTTATCTAATAGATTATGTTGTTCTTGTAGCTGGATAGGCTTCTTATTATGAAAGAAGTGGTAAAATGATCTAAATGACTTTGATATTTGATTCAGCTGCAGCAATAATCAAAGTATTGTCATGATTGATAGCTATTGCTCTGCATAATTCTAAGTATCTATTAGGGTATAGTTCACGATAGAAGTATTTATTAAATCTACAGACTTGATTTTATTTCATAAAATTAATATAACAGGATGAATTTGATAACTCAAATATATGATAAAAAATATTTAAATTTAGATAGAAATTATCATTTCTTTTTAGTAGATGATAATTTTAGAACTAGATTTTATCTTCATAGATGAAAATAGTACTTTTTATTTTGGACTCTAATTAGTTTTATTTAATATAAATTTTATTATAATGTAAACATTTGTTTCTTAATAAGATAACTATCTTATTTAATTTGCTAGTATTCTATTTAAATTTCCTCTATAAAAATTCTTAGAAAAAATTTTTATAAAAATTGATTATATAAATAAAATCTAATTATTGTTGTTTCAAATGACTGTTTACATGCTTTCAATACATATTTTAATTCCATTTTAGTATTCAACAAGTATTAGTTTCTTTTATCTATTTTTATCCAATTCAATCCACTTCAGATGTTTTAATCCATCTTAATTATATTAACCACCACCTCTATTTATGTTAAATTAAATTACATTCTGTTTATAAATGAATTATGATGCTTCATCATATCCCATTTTCCTTATTTTAAATCTTTGTAAAATTCTCCTTCATATAATATTTGATTATGATAATTATAATTTTCATCTAAGTCAATCCATTTTCCATTTTTTTCTCCATTTTAGTAATTACCGCCAGCTCTAATATACTATTAAATAAAATAAGACATTATGTAAAATGTATCTTTAGGCCAAAAGTAATATGTGAGAACATCATGCTCATAGTATTTAATAGTCTTTATATCCCATCTCCCTTATTTAATTCCATGATCATATTATCCAATATCTAAGACTTTACAATTACTAAAATACTGATTTTTTATACTGATTAAAATTATCATGTAAAGAAATCCATTTTCCATGTTTCATCCCTTAAGTATCATATATACCCCCACCACTAAATATTAGGTGAAATAATTATGTACATTTTTTCTAAACCTTAATTTTTGTTTAATAAGATTTCCCATCTACCTTATTTAAATCCTTTGTTATATTCTCCTATTTAAATTACAAAAAATGGTCTTATTTGATTATATATTATAATACAATTTAAAGTTGCTTAATTCTTTCCATTTTCCATTTTTATAACCCATATCATCGTATAAACCACCTCCACTTATAAATTTATTTTAAAATTTACATTATTATATTTCCTTATTTGATTTACCACTATCCTGACTTTTTACCATTAGTATATTCTCCAACAAAAGTAACTAATTTATGTAATATAGGATTGCCATTCAAATTCCTTTTATCAAATTAAGAATAATTGGATAATTTAATCCAATCCCCATACTTTTTTCCCTCTTCATTATAAGCACCTTTGCCACTTAATTTAAATTAATTTATACACAAATTAGTTTCCAAAGAATATATTCCAAGTGCCTACCTTAATTCCATGGACATATTGCCCAAGACTCTTAGCATGATGGTATTAACTAAAAAATGATTAAACGATTGNAACTCAAATATATGATAAAAAATATTTAAATTTAGATAGAAATTATCATTTCTTTTTAGTAGATGATAATTTTAGAACTAGATTTTATCTTCATAGATGAAAATAGTACTTTTTATTTTGGACTCTAATTAGTTTTATTTAATATAAATTTTATTATAATGTAAACATTTGTTTCTTAATAAGATAACTATCTTATTTAATTTGCTAGTATTCTATTTAAATTTCCTCTATAAAAATTCTTAGAAAAAATTTTTATAAAAATTGATTATATAAATAAAATCTAATTATTGTTGTTTCAAATGACTGTTTACATGCTTTCAATACATATTTTAATTCCATTTTAGTATTCAACAAGTATTAGTTTCTTTTATCTATTTTTATCCAATTCAATCCACTTCAGATGTTTTAATCCATCTTAATTATATTAACCACCACCTCTATTTATGTTAAATTAAATTACATTCTGTTTATAAATGAATTATGATGCTTCATCATATCCCATTTTCCTTATTTTAAATCTTTGTAAAATTCTCCTTCATATAATATTTGATTATGATAATTATAATTTTCATCTAAGTCAATCCATTTTCCATTTTTTTCTCCATTTTAGTAATTACCGCCAGCTCTAATATACTATTAAATAAAATAAGACATTATGTAAAATGTATCTTTAGGCCAAAAGTAATATGTGAGAACATCATGCTCATAGTATTTAATAGTCTTTATATCCCATCTCCCTTATTTAATTCCATGATCATATTATCCAATATCTAAGACTTTACAATTACTAAAATACTGATTTTTTATACTGATTAAAATTATCATGTAAAGAAATCCATTTTCCATGTTTCATCCCTTAAGTATCATATATACCCCCACCACTAAATATTAGGTGAAATAATTATGTACATTTTTTCTAAACCTTAATTTTTGTTTAATAAGATTTCCCATCTACCTTATTTAAATCCTTTGTTATATTCTCCTATTTAAATTACAAAAAATGGTCTTATTTGATTATATATTATAATACAATTTAAAGTTGCTTAATTCTTTCCATTTTCCATTTTTATAACCCATATCATCGTATAAACCACCTCCACTTATAAATTTATTTTAAAATTTACATTATTATATTTCCTTATTTGATTTACCACTATCCTGACTTTTTACCATTAGTATATTCTCCAACAAAAGTAACTAATTTATGTAATATAGGATTGCCATTCAAATTCCTTTTATCAAATTAAGAATAATTGGATAATTTAATCCAATCCCCATACTTTTTTCCCTCTTCATTATAAGCACCTTTGCCACTTAATTTAAATTAATTTATACACAAATTAGTTTCCAAAGAATATATTCCAAGTGCCTACCTTAATTCCATGGACATATTGCCCAAGACTCTTAGCATGATGGTATTAACTAAAAAATGATTAAACGATTGATACTTCATTTGATTTCTTTTTAATTATACCCAAAATCCATTTTGTTATTCATTTTCATCATAAACTCCACAACCTCTAGAAATAAACATATTTAAAACATAATTTAATATTACTATCTAATATTTATCTACATTGCATTCCAAATTCCTTGTTTTTTTCCATAATTATAGTCACCAACATATAAAAATTATTAATCACTAAATATGAGAATAATTAAACTCATCAAAATCTTCTATTAAATCAAACCATTTTCCATGTTTTATTCCATCTTCATTATATTTACCACCAATTCTATTAAAATCTATTAAGTTATATATACATTTTAATAGATTTATTTTTATTAGCATCATAAAACTAATAAATCCAATTTCCAATTTTGTGATTATTTTAATATACTCCTTTAAATATAACTTAAAAATTTCTGAATAATAACAATTAATAACCTATCATAATTTTCATGTAATTCATTCCATAATCCTTCCTTCTATCCTTATTTGTTATACAATCCTCCTCCTCTTAAAAATTACTTTATATTTACATAATTTTCTCAGCTTATTGATAGATCCACTTTCCTTATCTGAAACCTTAATTGTATATCCCAATAAAGAAAATTTAGCATAAACTGATATAAACTATATTAATTTTATTACTTCCAATATCCTTAATAAGGTTCTACCCAATATCCTTCTTTCTCACCATTATCATTATATAATCCTCCATAAATCTATTTTTCCCCTCTCCAAATCATGTTCCATTTTCCAATTGGCAAATTTTAATTGTTATATTATCCAGCCCATTTAAGATTTCTAATTTATTCTAACGAAGTCAAAATTTCTGGACTTTTCTACTAATCTATTCTATTTTCTCTTAAATAATGTAAATAATTAAAGAATACACTCTAAGAACTTCACCATCATGAATATATTTCATCTCTCCAGCTGGAGTATATTCTATCATATACTTAAACCTTTATTTTTTCCATTAATGACCAGAAGAATTCAAATAATGATATTTGCCACTAAAAAAATTAGTTCCATTCTTCCAAAGACTGTTGTTATGATCTGCAAATAATCAATTAATAGTCGCGATACCTTGAATAAGAATCTAATTTATATGTTATCTCTAATTTGACTAAGTGGTTCCCATTTTATTTATATATATATATATATAATTATAACTATTTCTTAATTATGATAATATCACATAGTGAAAATAGATGTCGCTTATTTTGGTTGAAATAGGCTTTGATAAAAATGATTCTTATACAATAATCAGATTTTATAATATTTAGTCTTAAATAGGAATTTCACCAATTTTAATTTAAAATGGAATGTATCAAGATAATATATTTAAACTCTCAACTTTAACTAAAAATAATGAAAAGTAAACTAAATTGTTTAAATAAGATAATTTGGAAGAATAATAATATATATTAGGTATGGGAGATCATACTAAGTTATTTACAATTATTAAATAGGAGACAGAGATTATTAACAAGTACGAATATTACTGATCAACTAATAAAATGGAGATGATGCATATCAATTTATTCTTTTAAATATTGAAATCATTATTATATCTATCTAGGATTGTGAAAATTCTTATTAAATAAACAGAAATAAAAAAATTTAACAATAGCAAAGAAACCAACTTCATATATTTAATTAATAAATTTTTGTTTCTGCTTTCATAATGTTAGAAAGTCTCAAGCCTAATATTAATCCAAAAAATAATAATTATTTTGTTATATCAAAATATATCAGGTTTATTTTATCAAAATTTCTAAAGGTTCTATAGCATAACATTAGTTTTCCAAATCAATAGAATCTATAGGTTTAATTTATAAACGATTTGATTCCTTTAAACTTTGCAATTCTATTTATGTGTTCAAAAGTTTCCCTCCCATTTAATGACTTTATGATAAGATCTAATCTCCAAATTTATCTTAGAGAATAAATTATATTCTGGAAATTTCATAAAGAAGATTTGTTAATCTGCACTTTTCTCTTGCTCCTTTTTATAATATCTAGTACCGCAGTTTTAAATTTTCTATTGGTTACAATTTATTATTTATATCTTATTTATCAAATTTAAATAGATTTAAGAAATTCACAGAATATTATTTAAATTCTGGATAGTACATTGTAATGATTTCATTTAATAACTCATTTTCTGATAATTAATTATTATAGTATAATACTACATGTTTAAACATAAATATTAGTTAGATAATGGATCCAATTTATGCTAATACAACACCTAATTTAGGATAGGTAATTTCTTCAACAATAGAAATATTATCAATTCTAAATAAATAACATCCATAACTATCAAAATTATAATTGAAACTTGACATTGCATTAATTACTTTTGCAACATATGTTTTATCTGTCTCTTAAGTAATCAATTCATAGTTATTTAAAAAATTAAAATTTTCATAAGAATTAAATAAAATACCATTATCGATTATTGATTATTACTATTTCAACATTATTTGAGAGTACTATGGCTTTTTAGCATCAAAGCTTGTATAAAATAATTTTTTGAATAGTTCTAATTCTTTTGTTATTAGATTTAATTAACTTAATTTAATTTTAATGAATAAAAACCCATGAAATCTAGATAAATATTCATCTATTGTTTTTTCATCAGCACAATTACTTCCCTCAATGAGAAATTAACTTGAACATCTTGCAAGTACAATTGCGTGTTATTCTTATAATTTTTGTGTTTCATCAACAGAATCCAGTGTATTTAAAACTAGATTAACATTGCTTAATTCAATTCTATATGGTTTTTCATCATTTGAAAACAAAGGAATTGGTTTTTCTTAAACAGTGGTATTCATAAAGGTCACTAATAAAGGTGTAATGATATTATTTTATTTTTTGAAAGGATCAACATCTCCAGTGAAATCTTCTAATGTCAGTTCAATCATAGATTCCTACAATTAAAATTCAGCATAACCTATGGTCCTTTACTTTGAGCTTATATTAGGTGCTATTTAATTATTGATCCATAGAGCAATCACATATATAAAATAAACTAAACTTAATCCACTTAACAAAATAGTTATTATCCCACCAAACTTGCTTTGATATCTTTAGTTATTTGTATTAGATAGAAGACAAATAGGAACACCAAATATATCTACTTTTTCAATAGTATTTATAGCTTTGTTCATAATTCTTATTTATTAATATGAATATTAAATAATAATAATATAATGATCCAAAATAATCTATCCTTATCTCATTTTCTATTAATTCAATTTTTCCTATTCCAACTAAAAATTTTAAAATTAAGAATTTTTTCATTCCAATAATAAATATATTAATTATTCTTACAAGTGTAAGTTAGATAATAACTATATCTCTTGTCAAAATTACATATTCTATAATCTAAGAGTCTAGATTGACATCCATGTTTTCTTTTTTCCCATTTTCCCAAAACACAAATAAACTTTTATTATTAATTACTTGTAAATAATACAAATTCAATTATACTAATCTGCAAATCAATTTTTATTATAATATTAATAAATATTGATGTTTAAATTTGTTGAAAAAAATTTAAGTTTATGAAGAATGAATTCATAAAAATGACATTCCTTTAAAATATGTTAAAAATTAAGTAATTTACTTTACTACTTAATTAATATATAAATCTATTATATAACATTTTCTAAATGAATGATAATTTAAAATATAACCATAATTTTTTATCTTCATTTTAAAAAAATTTGCAATATCTCTTATTATTTGAAATTCTGTGAAATCAAACTTTTCTATAATTGAAATAAATCATTTAATTTATTTTTTACAAGAAAATTCCTTAAAATTAAAATTATAACTAGTCTTTTGACTTCTTCTTGTAAATAAATTTTTTTAATGATTGGGAGCAAATGTGAAATTTTTATAACATAAATATTGAATTAAACGATATGACATTTTTCATCAAGAGAAGATGAAGAATATTACCAAATAAATAATGTATAAGAAGGAGAACACTAAGATAAACTTTCATAACATGATTCTTGTAATCTTTATTTTAATTTTCATAATAATAATGAAAATTAACTGACTTATACATAATCTGATTTTTTGAATGAATAATTTGAATTTTACATAAAAGATTATTTGATTAATCAAGAACTGTCTGATATATTTTATAAGCCTAATTTAAATAAATTCGAATTTTCATATAATAGATTGTGATTCCATAACTAATATTTATAATAATATTAATCTTAACAACTTCTTAGTAAAAGAAATACTTATAATTAAATTTCATAAATTAATTAATATGAGTTTCTTCAATTATTTATGTTTTTGATAATCATTTTGATGATATTATGATTAAACTAATTCTATAGAATTGATTTTAATTTATATTAACGATTAAGCCATTTTGATAATTTATTGAAATTTTCCATAAATTAGGAACTAATTAATATCAGGAATTTTATTGATAAAATCAGGCATAGAAGATGATATTGATTTCTTTAATTAAGAATCACAAATGATTAAAGATGTTAACTAAATGGAATGTGTTTTTAAACATAAGGATTGTTCAGTTCTAATGGTGCTTGATAAATAAAAATTCAAGTTAAAAGAAAGATTGATTTGTGCTGATTGCTTAGAAGAACATAAAGGAAACTAAAATATAACCTTAAATGATGAATTAGTATAGAATTTTAATTATATTTAGGAGAAGTTGAGTAACTAAATTAATACTTTAAGAAAATAAAACATTTATGAAATTGATTAATTTACCAAATACTTATATAAACTTAAAGAAAACCTAATAAAAGTTGTGGACATTGTAATAGTGAATTCACATTAATGTAAAGATGAATTAAATAAAAATAATGAAGATTCATGGGATGAAGAATAATTATATTTAGAAGCAGAGAGAATAAATAAAATAAATAAAAATTACTAAAATAAATTAGTAAGTTCTGTTTCTATAATCAAATAAATTATAAATATAATAGAAAAAGAAACAGATAACTTAAAGAATGTTTTGGAAGAAACCATATATTATGAAGAACTTAAACCAATAAAAAAAGTATAAGTAAATCCCATAGAGTGTCCTATTGGATCTATTTTTGACAAGCGTCCTCCATAAAGAGAGATAACTTATCATTAAATTTAAGAAGTGTATTAAGAATAATGGTGTTTTGCCCTTGCATTCAATAAATAAGGTTCAATAATGGCTGGAGCATCTAAAAAAGATATAAAAATTTGGAATTTTGAAAAAGGATAATTAAGAGATTCAGGAGTAACCTTAAAAGGTCATAATTTAGATGTCACTTGTATTATTTTTAGTAAAAAGATGAATTGGTTTATAACTGGAAGTATAGATTGTAAGATTATAGGATGGAAAAAGATGATTAATTCAATTTATTGGGAACCATCATAACCTTGTGACACTTAGTCAATTGTATGGTGTTTATTATTAAATTAAAGTGAAAATTTAATATTTTCTGGTCATTCTAATGGATCAATCAAAGTTTGGACTTTAAATACAGATAAGAATTAATTGATATTTCATTATTAGCTTAATAAGCATAGTAAACATATTGGTTAGATGAGTATGAATGAAGATGAAACACAATTAGTCTCATGTAGTGATGATAAAACAATAATAGTTTGGGAAAAGAAAGCAAATGAAAGAAGATTTAAGTTTAAGTAAGTTTTAGAAAATCTGAAAAATGATAATGGATTTAGAGTTTGTTTTCTAAATAAAGATACAATTGCTTGGTGTCAAGAAAATTAGGGTTCTATTCATATATATAAATAAGAATTAGAAAAATTTGTAGACAAAAAAGAGTTGCAAATTAACTTAAAGAATTTAGACTTAAAAGATGGATAATCCTTATTTCCTTCTATTTATAATAAAGCCAAGTAAATATTTATAATAAAGCATAACAAATATGTTAATATCTTGAGCTATCAAAATTAATCATTTAATGTTTAAAGTGAACCAATTGATTGTAGATCTTGCAAAAATTATGGAAATATTACCGAGGATGGAAACTATTTAATAGTTTGGAATGATTAAACTTTATCATTTCATGTTTACGAATTGAAATATTAATGAGAATAAAGTTTATATTTTTCACATAAGAATTATAATTATTTACTTTAATTCTATCTAATATTATGAATTAAACTAAAAATAATCTATCATTGTGCAAAAATTAACTTAGGGAATTTTTAGTTACTATAAAAGGAACTTTGACTCTATTAAGACAGGATCCTATATATTGAATTTGTTATTAAATTTTAGATATGTAATTTTTTCATTTAAATTATAAAATGAAGATTGTTCTTACAAGAAGATTCATATAAGTAAATATTTGGAAATTCGCCTAATAACCTTAATTTTTTAAATTAATTATTATTTTTAAATCATAGCTATAAAAAAACCATTTAACGATATTATCTTTTGTATGCTTTAGAATTTTAAAGTAAAATTTTTTGTTATTCATTATCTTATTTATGGTATTTAATATAAAAGTGAACAAAATTATTAAAATATAATTGAAAATTAAAAAGTAAATAATCCTAAAATATAATAAATATTTATTATTTGAAACGTATTTGTTATATAAATTAAAAATTGGGATTTATTTAACACATCATGATCAGAATGGCTATTTTGAGTTTTTTAAGAAATTAAAGTTCAAAATCTTTAAGAATTAAGTCCTATTATTTTATCCCAGATTAGATCTTTTATTTCTTAATCATCTCTTTTTTCCAAAATTCTGATGAATATTTGAATATCTTTTTATAGCAAGAAACAATTGTATAGTCATAGTATTTACAGATTGCGTTAAATCCTATTAGAATAGACTAATTATTAGCCTGTTCCATACATGGGTAACTTGAAGAAGTTAAGTTGATATTATTCAAATCTTATTAAAATTTAAATTATATTATTAAATAAATTTAATAATATAAAAAAATTTACTATTATATATTAATCTAGAAACATAAGTGATAACTAGTCAAAAATGATTTACAAATATTGGATATATATAATTAAAAATAGATTAATATTAATTTATCATTCTATATTTTAATATAATATCTCATAAATTTTAATAATCCCATCACCTTCCATTATAGGTGAGCTGTCCCAAATTACAAGAAATCTACCACTTTTTGAAAGACCTCCATTATTTTAATGACTTTAACAATTTATCGTATGAACTTTTTTAAAAGTACCATTTTTCTTAATAATAAGATTAACAAATTGATTTTGTTTTTGAATAACAAGTTTTTTTTCAATATTATAAGATGCTGGAAATAATAACCATGGATCTTCTTAATCTTAAACATATATACGCTATTCAATATTTTCTGTAAATTTTTCTTCCTATTATTACTAATAAAGTCTTATAAATCCTTCATTATTCAATTAAAATAAAAAAGAGTCATCATCAATAAAAGTTATTCTAAATGAATAGCTATTATTATTTATTTATTAAAACAATTTCCATATGCTGTTTTATTTTTTCCAAACAATAATTGATTCATCTAGACTACAAGAGACTAAATAATTTTCAGTTTAATTTAGACTAATTCCATATATTGATCCTTAATGATTTGTTAATTATTGATTTAATTTCCATTTATTTTAAGAGGTTTAGTAATTTGAAACAATTATTGTTTTATCTTGACTGCATGAGATTATTTCACTATCATTTTTATTCAATAAAATCTAAGGAACATAACCCTTATGAAAATCTAATATCTGAATATTTTTCCATAAATCATTATATTTTCTCCAAATAAGTATTCTTTTATCTTTATGACTACCTCCTGACACAAATAGATCTTAATTCAAACTAAAAGCCAAAGATATTACATCATCAATATGACCAGTCAAAGTTTAATTCTCAGTTATTTTTCCATTATTAAAATTCCATACTTTTATATTAAAATTACATCCTGCTAACATTATACTATCATCTTTATTAAAAGTAACAACTCTACAAATTTCATATTATTTAATATTATAAATATTTTTAATTTCTTTAAATTCATATTTTTTAATATTTTGAAGATATTATTCTTTTAAATTTTCAATTACTTCTTTTGCTTATTGCTGTTATTTAAGGATTTTAATTACAAGGTTATTTTATTAATTTATTTCTTATTTGATAAAATCATTTAAAAGCCTTAATTTAACTAAAAGATTTATATCTGTTTTGGATTTTTTAAGTATTGGAGCCTTTTCACTCATTAATTAAGCCATCTCTTATAGAGTTGATAATGTTATATTTTCATCAAATAATTGTAAATCTTGAATCCTTGATATTTTATCAAAATTTAATCCATTAATTAATTAGTCTATTTGATTCATTATATGCTCACAACTTGAATAGAATGATTTTTTTATTTATTTCATCTATTCATAAAATTATTTGAGTGGATTAATGTAACTCAAATAATCATTCTATACTTATTGAATTTCGTTTTGTTTTTTTTAAATCCATTATTCATAAGCTGCTTCAATATAAATGGGATTGGATAATTAGCATTTACAACATTTAGCTCTTTCTCCTTTTAATATTTTTTATCTTAAATCTAAAAATTATATTTTTTCAAAATGTTCTTAACATTAAAGACTTGTAATTTATTGCATAAATTTTATCATTAAAAATAATAACTTATATTTTAAATATATCTAAGATTTCAATAAATGTATTTTTTAATACTATAATTGTTATTTTTATTTTTTATGAATAATTATGTCTTTTATGATATTTTGCCTAAAATAACATATTCTAAATTACAAGTTTTATTAATCAAATGTTATTTTTAATTTATTTTCAATTTAACATACATCAACCTAACACAAATTAAAAATATGAAATTGACTTATATATTATTTGAAAGCATAAGTATAAAATAATATTTAAAAGAATTACGAGATATAAGAATATATGTTAAACTTAATTTAAATTATAATTTAATTCAATTCTTAATAATTTGAGTTCTGAACTAGATTTGTTCTGAAATAAAGTCCCATGTTATTAAAAGTTTACTATCTTCACTAATTGTACCATAAATATATCCCCAATATCCTTTTTAATCAAATTCTATAGATGATTCTAATGAGCATTAAAAATCTTGAGATTAATTATGTGAATAAATAAATCTTATAAAATTCAAATGGTAACCATTCTTTGTAACAAATAAATTTTGCGTATTGATATAGCTGGAAGGAAAGTAAGGAGAACAATAACAATTTCCTCCATTAACTGGAATTTCCTTAATTTTTAAAAATTTCTAATTTTTTTCATTAAATTAATATAATTATAAATTTATACCTAATGATTAATAAGCAAACAAGTTGTTATTTATGAAACAAATTCTAAATCCCATATTATAAGTTTAAATCTTTTATTTCATATACCATTTTCTTCTATTTGATTCTTCAATAATAAGTATTTACTTGTCATAGCCACATGACACTACTCTATTTCCCTCCTAATTAATAGATAATCCAAAAACATAACTCTTATGCTCTTTGATTGTTTAAAAACATTCCCAACCTTAATAAATTAAAGGCGATAAAAATTAGTAATTTGATAATGACCAAAATTTTATTTTTTTATCACAAGCACTAATAATTAAATCTTCACTAAAAGGTCTAAGAACTAAACAATTAATAGAAGATGAGTGTTCTTTTAATTTGAATATTGGTATCCAGAATTTTGAAGATTCAACAATTTCTAATTACCAAATAATAATCTGATTATCTTAAGAACCTGATATGAAGTTATCAAGCATGAAGGAATTTTTCTTAAAGAAATTGAGTGTGTTTATGAAACCAAAATGTTGATCTTATATAATTTGAATTTAGTTAAGATTGATTATGGTACTTGTGTTAGAGTAAATTATTTCCAAAACTTTTATTTATGATCTTTAAAATTAAAAATTAAGATGCTTATCTGCTGCAACTACCAAAATAGTATTATTATGATTGATTGCAATAGCATTGCAGAAATCTTTTTATTAATATGTGTATTAAGGTTGAGATTGATAAGTTAAGGGAATAAATTATGATTAAAATTCAGATTTCATCATTATTAACAATAATTATTATAATATTTAATACTCAAATTTTCAATACTAATATGAAATTATTACATTATAATTTAAGAATTATTAATTTACAAATGAATTGTAAATACTTGAGTGATTAGATAAAATTGAAAGTAATAAATTGTATTTTTACAACTGTGTATATATTATATTTATTAAAAATACATTGTAAATGTTATTTTTTGAGATTTAAGTTAAATTCATGAGTAAATACTGAGTTTTAATAATATTTATATAAACTTTTAATTATTAATGAATTAAATGTAAAAATTCATTTTATCACTTATTAAATACTTTTTAGGAAATTCTTGACAGTTAACATATTTTTTATAAACAATCATATATATCTCCAATATCTTTTTAAAATCTAAAATGACAAGAATATATGAATATTTATTGAATATTTTTCAATAATTAAATTTATTTTCCATTTAATTTCAAATAATAATCTAAAAGAATTTATTAACTTTTATATTATTTCCATTCAAATTGATAACCTTATTGAAATTCCCAGTTAAAGTAATCATCATATATATAGAAATATATAATCTATATGTGTATTTTTTTATTCATTCTAAATAATTTATCAATCTATATTCAGATATTTATTTTGAAATTATATTCTAAAGAAAATGAAAAAAATCATTTTGTAGCCACCTTCCAAATAATATCAATTTTAACAAAACCAACTTAAATAACATAACAAAAATCCATAAAATTTTATTGAGGAAAAAAAGATTTTTGAATTGTAAGGAAAATTAGCATATTATGATCCATATAAGTACAGTTAATTTTTTGGGATTGTCTAAGTGTAAATTGAATATTCTAAAAATGGAATTTAGACAATCATATATAATGGCTAAATATTAAGAAAGTTTTTAATATTTTACATATTATTTTTAGGTAAAAAATTTATGGGACTGATAATTAACACTAAAATATTGAACATCTTGAACAAATATAATATTTGAGTTGGGAAGGAAATTATGGAAAAAATAATTAGAAAATAGGCAAATGGATTGCATTTTGGAAAGGAGAAAGATTATTAGCTGGAGGAAACTATGATGAATTTGAATATAAAATAGGATAATGGGTCGAATTAGATCAAAATTTTTGCGAGTTTATTTTTATTTTCATTAATTTATATTAGTTATTGTCAAGTTTTCCATTTAGGAAATTATAAAAATGGAAAAAAATAAGGTTTTTGGTAAACATTATATAATGGTTAGTTAATGTATAATATATTTAATAAGCTATAGTGGTGGTGGATTATATGATGAGAATGAATAAAGAAATGGAAGTTGGACTGATTTACATATCAATTTCAATGAGTTTTTAATTATTTAGTATTTAAAGTTGGAATTAAATAACATATTCAGGTGTTTATATAAATGACAAAAAATAAGGATTATGGAATACAATTTTTTAGAGGGAAATCATGTTATATATTATTATTTATAATCTTATTAGTGGAGGAGGTTAATATGATGAAAATGGATTGAAAAATGATAAATGGACAGATATTGATGATTAAATTTGTGAGTAATTGAATAGATAAATTTATAGTATGTACAATAATGTTATTTATGTTGGAGAATATGCAAATGGAATTAAAAAAGGAAATTGGATTACTATTAAAAATGGGAATATTATGTAAAAATTAAATTAATCTAAGTGGTGGTGGTAATTTTGATGTCTATGGTATGAAAAATGGTAAATGGATAGACGTTATTAACAATTTTAATTAGTAAATTAATTAAATTATATGTATTACATTAGAAGGAATAATATTACTGAAGCTGGAAGTTATTTAAATGGAATTAGAGTTGGATAATGGAATTATGTTTATAGAGGATAGATAATGTAATAATTAAAAATAAATTAGTGGTGGTGGGTCTTATAATGATGAAGGTTTTAAAAATGGAGAATGGATATAGTTGTATGATAATTCGAAAAGGTTATAATGATATTATCATTAGATATATTGATGTCTTATGCAAAGGTGTATATTAAAATGGTATTAAATCAGGAAAATGGATAACTATTAACAAAGGAGAGAAAATGTATTCATATTATTGAATTTAGTGGAGAGGAATAATATAATGAGAATGGGTTAAAGATTGGTAATTGGATTGAGTTGGATCAATAATTTAGAGAGTATCTATATATAAAATAAATTAGATATAAATAAGTGATTTATGTTGGAAAATATTTAAATGGAAAAAAACATGGATAATGGGACATCATGAGATTTGGAAATATTATGTAATAATTTTTATAATATTTAGAGGTGGTGGTTAATATAATGATGATGGATTAAAAATTGGTAAATGGTAGGATTTGGATGATAGTTTTTGCAAGTAAATCATTTTTTTTTTCTATTTTATTAGTATTAAATAAGTTACATATGTTGGGGAATATTAAAATGGTGTAAAGTATGGTAAATGGGAAACTATTTGTTTTAAAATAATTATGTAAGAACAATCTATATAAATTAAGAGGTTAAGGAGAATATAATTATATTGGTTAGAAAATTGGAAAATGGATAGATTTGGATGACCATTATCATAAGCAAGAATTTATATTAATCAATTCTCTAGTTCAAAACAGATAAATAAAGCAGGAATATATTAAAATGGGAAAAAATATGGGCAATGGGAAATTAATTATAAAGGATAAATCATGTTTTATTTCATATTCTATATCAACCTAGAGGTGGAGGTTAATATGATTTTGATTGGGCAAAAAAAGGGAAATGGATAGAACCTATCTAAAATTTCTATAGGTTTATTTATTAACTAATATAGTTAAAAGGAAATATTATTTGAGGGAATTTATAATCAAGGTCAAAAATTTGGAAAGTGGAAATCATATAAGAAAAGTTAAACATTGTAAGCATATATTAAATAATTATAAAGAGGAGGAGGATTATATAATGAATAGGGATTAAAACATGGAAAATGGATAGATTTGGATGATGATTATTAATCGTATTCTTAATAAAAATAATTATAGATTTAGATAAATTACTTACAGTGGTGAATATTTTAATGGAAAACAGAAAGGAAATTGGTATATATTATATAAAGAAGATCTCATGTAAATATTAATATTACTTATTTTTAGAGGAGGAGGTTCATATAATGAATAAGGTCTAAAAGATGGAAAAAGAATAGAAATTTAAGATAACTTTCAAAAGTTTCTAATTTTTAATAAAATAGATTTTGCCAGTTAACGTATGCTGGTGAATTTTAGAACGGTAAAAAAAAAGGAAGGTGGTTTATATTGTATTAAGGAAATGCATTGTAAGTTATTTTAAAGATAATTTAGTGGCGGAGGACATTACAATCAATTAGGTTTGAAGAATGGAGAATGGATTGAAGCAGACGATAGTTTTTTTGAGTATAAATATTTATTAATTGTTAGTTGGAATATGAAGATACAGTTTATAACATATCATTAAGGAATTAAATAAAATTAATAGTTGATATCAAGATTATGATATAAAATAGTATGATATTTTAGAATTAGCATATATATGTTATAATTTAATACTAATCAAAAAGAATGTTTTTGATCAAAATACTAATTAATAATCTGAAAAGCAATTAATAATTATTTATTATTTTAATAATAAAGGATATTAAAATCAGTCTAATTTTAATTCTGTGAAATTTCCTTAAAATTCCCCATTCTAATATTGTCCCTTGAGCATTATCTAATTATGGCTATATTAATATGAAATTATACCAATTAAAATTTGGATGTAAGTCTAACCATTCTCCATGCTTCAACCCATTATTTCCATTATAATGACCTCCTCCACTTTTTTATATTGTAATACATAATTTACATAACAATGAATTCTTCATCGACAGCTACTCTAAAATGAATATCCCATTTTCCATTTTTAATTCCATTGTTATATATACCTTTGTACTTAATTTAACACCAACTTTAATATATTTTAAATGAAAATTGATACTCTCTATCATAATTCTCATGTAAATCAATCCATTCACCAATTTTCTAACCATTTAAATCATTATATAATCCTCCCCCACTAAAATTCTATTAGAAATATACATTGTTTCAAAATCTTAATCACTTTCTACTCTAAATTTAATGATCCATCTGCCTGCTTTTCTTCCATCTAAATATTCCCCTAAATAAATAATCTCACATAGACTTAAGTTATTAGTAAATATTAATTACTCTGTCTTAAAATGTTCATGTAATTCAATCCATTTCCCATTCTTTTTCCCATTTTTCATATCATACAATCCTCCTCCTCTTTATTTACATTTTTATTATAAATGTACATTGTTTGAAATTAATGTTTAGAACTATATCTATATAAGATATCCCAATTTCCATATCTTTTGTCTTATTTAACAACTCCTTTAGATATTACTTAACACCATCTTTTTTGTTATTATTAATTAAATTATTACAAATTGAAATTTCTATGTAAATCAACTTTATTAATTCCTTATTCCTAATCGTATGTTTCTAATCCACTAAATGATATTTTATAACAATAAAAACATTATTTTAAATTCTTCATTTGAATATTCTCTAAATAATGTTTCCCATTCACCATGTTTAATTCCATTTTAATATTCTCCTTTTTATATTACTTAGCAATAACTTCATTATTATTATTATTTGATACTTTTAAAAATCTTAATACAAATCTACCCATTTACCAATTTTAACACCAGATTCATAAACTCCTCCACCCCTAAGATATAAATTAAAAAATTTACAGAATGTTATTTTCAAATAAAAAATCCCATCTTCCTACCCTAATTCCATTTTTATATTCTCCAATTTTAGTAACTTGACATTAACTATTATAGTATGAATGAATAAAATTACTTCCAAAAATTCTCATATAATTCAATCCATTATCCAATTTTTTAATTACTTTTTTCATCATATTAACCTCCACCACTAAAGTATTAAGAAATTTCATACTAAATTTGGTTTTCAAATAATATATTCCATTTACCAATTTTTTTTCCATCTTTGTAAGATCCAACATAAGTTGTTTAACATTCACTTATTCTATATATTAATTTACTTCCAGTATTCAAATCCAATATCTATCCAAGTTCCTTGCTTTAATCCATTCTCATCATATATACCTCCAACATTTAATAAATTATCTTTCCAAAAAGCTCTCCATTACCCAACTTTTTAATTATTGCTTCCATATTTTCCATCCCAATTTAAATATTTCACTTATTAAAGATTTAAGTTAATCTAAGTTTTCTAATCTGAATTAATGATACGTTCCCTATAAATATATTATATTATACTTTTTTACTACTTATCCATCTTTGATATAGATTTCAGATCCTTAAATTTAATAATAATGGTAAGTAGTATTTTGTAAGAAATGCTACCCATTCCAATAACTTTATTTACCTTCAACTTCAATTATCTCTTTATCATTTTATCCTTAATATTACATAAATAATAATGTAACTGTAAATTTTAATAATATTTATTTTTAATTTAAAGTTAATTAATATTCAACTTAATATATAAGTAAAAATAAAAAGTTAGTTTTGAGGTTTAGCAGATTTAATAAAGAATTAATTTCTGTTATTTTTAATATTTAGACAAACTTTTTGATGAAACACTTTTTTATCAAAATTTAATAATATGTTATATNTAACACCAGATTCATAAACTCCTCCACCCCTAAGATATAAATTAAAAAATTTACAGAATGTTATTTTCAAATAAAAAATCCCATCTTCCTACCCTAATTCCATTTTTATATTCTCCAATTTTAGTAACTTGACATTAACTATTATAGTATGAATGAATAAAATTACTTCCAAAAATTCTCATATAATTCAATCCATTATCCAATTTTTTAATTACTTTTTTCATCATATTAACCTCCACCACTAAAGTATTAAGAAATTTCATACTAAATTTGGTTTTCAAATAATATATTCCATTTACCAATTTTTTTTCCATCTTTGTAAGATCCAACATAAGTTGTTTAACATTCACTTATTCTATATATTAATTTACTTCCAGTATTCAAATCCAATATCTATCCAAGTTCCTTGCTTTAATCCATTCTCATCATATATACCTCCAACATTTAATAAATTATCTTTCCAAAAAGCTCTCCATTACCCAACTTTTTAATTATTGCTTCCATATTTTCCATCCCAATTTAAATATTTCACTTATTAAAGATTTAAGTTAATCTAAGTTTTCTAATCTGAATTAATGATACGTTCCCTATAAATATATTATATTATACTTTTTTACTACTTATCCATCTTTGATATAGATTTCAGATCCTTAAATTTAATAATAATGGTAAGTAGTATTTTGTAAGAAATGCTACCCATTCCAATAACTTTATTTACCTTCAACTTCAATTATCTCTTTATCATTTTATCCTTAATATTACATAAATAATAATGTAACTGTAAATTTTAATAATATTTATTTTTAATTTAAAGTTAATTAATATTCAACTTAATATATAAGTAAAAATAAAAAGTTAGTTTTGAGGTTTAGCAGATTTAATAAAGAATTAATTTCTGTTATTTTTAATATTTAGACAAACTTTTTGATGAAACACTTTTTTATCAAAATTTAATAATATGTTATATTAAGAAATTTCAAGGATTAAAATTATTTTTATATTCATTAAATTGTTTTTTCAAAAAGATATTATTTTCTAAATAGTTATTATTTTACAAACAAAATCAACACAAAGTAATTGAGTATAAATATATATTTACAATTATCAAAATAGAAGAAAAATATTAAAATGTAACTTCGATATAAATGAAATAGAAAATATATTTGTCATATAAAGAAATTTGTATTGAAAATTTGAGAGAAAAATTTCAGTAATAATAATTCTATTAATAATTTTTTTTTTTTTACATTAGTTAATGGAAAGACTACAGATGATAATTTATAATAAATACCAGATTATGTATCGTTAAAAAAGTAATATATATTTGAATAAATTAAAACGGTTAATTGGGATTAGCCCTTTTAGGATATTACTAAATAGCTAATCTTTATGTTATTTCAATGTAATAAATATATTCTAAAAATAGTGAACAAAATTTAGAAATTTGTTTTAATCTGCTGAACTCAATCTAAGAAAAATTTCAATTAAAGATTTTTCACAGAAGCAAACTATAAAATTTTCAAGATTGTTGTAAAAATAAAAAATTCTAGCTTTACTTTGGAGATGATTGACCTCATATTATAATTTCTCTTAGATAATCTTGTTAATATAATGATTAAAAATGGTATTTAGTTATTATTAGATTTAAATTAATTAAACATTATAAACTATTCAATAGATTTAGCTGGTATTTAATTATACAAAATTTGTTCAAAATAATTCTAGATACTTAAAAATCTTATATCTGAATTATGTAAAGCATGTAGGTTTTGTAAATATTATAAAATTATATATATTAAAAATAGATAATAATGAAATTTTATAAATTAAGATTATCATAACTTAAAATAATTGATTATTTACTTTCAAAAATAATAATTTTAATGAAATTTGAAATATAATCTTTCGTAATTGAGCATATCTCATAACTTAGGAATAATATTTTTAAGTAAATAAAACGATTGATATTTATATTTTATCAATAATCAAAATCATAATTAGATTTTTGAAATTTTTAGCTCAATTGAGATATTTAAATTCTTGTCATTTCGTCTTATAATTTTAATAAAGCAGATCAATATCAAAAAAGTGATGATTATTATTATTATCATAATCATTAGCATATGATTGTACCATTCAGTTTCTCTTATAATTGTTATGTGGATTTCAGATTTTGATAAACTATTTTCTGCAATCAAGATACATGTTTATTTATTTATATGTGTATCATGTAATTAAATTTCATAATGTAATTAACCAATTGTAATACTAGAATAATCATCATAAAATATCAAATGAGTATTATTGACAGGATATATTAAAATGGATTTGTTTGATTTTAAATGTTAATAATTATATAAACCTTCTTTATGGGTAAGGTCATAAAAATAATGATTTTATAAATCTGATGACAGGAATAAAATGTTTGATTTATAAACTACTTTATATTGTTCTATAAATGCATCAGGATTCCTTAAAATCTTTGTAATTTTAAAATCAATAATGGAACTGCTTTCTCCAAATTTGATATCAATAATTAGTGAATAATGCTTAAACATCAATAACACTAATAAAGTTATGGTTTCACCTTTTTTAATGGATTTAAGTGAATAATTTTTTGGAGTTGATTCTTTTGAAGTGAATTAATTATTAAAGTGTTTGAGTAGTTCTTAATAAAAGGTATAATATGGTATTAAGATTTGATTAATTTTTTTAAATTTATTATTTGAATAATACTAAAATATTTTTATTATAAAATCTTAATTTTGTATTTAAAATTCAACATATAATTAATTAGAATCTTAAACAAATATAATTCCTTATTAATATGCTTTCTGATTTTATTTTATAAATTTAAATGTTGGTGTAAAAAATAAAATATCTTTAAATTAAAATTATAACTGGATTATATCCTCTACTTGATAGAAGTTCAAATTGGTAGAAGTACAATTTGAATTATATTCAAAAATCTTATTTTGAGATAAAGTAAATGTTTCAGTATTAATTTAATATACTTTTATAATTACTTTTTATTCAAAATCTAGGATAAAAGCTAATTACCATTTATTTATCAGAAATAAATTTAAAAGTTTTAACTCTCTACTAATATCAGGACTTATTGGTAAAAGGGTTTTAATTTTCTTGTGCTTGAGTATATAGAGATAAAACTATTTTTTTTAATTTGAGAATAAATTTGTATCAACCTAAACCTGTATTATACAATCCATTTACTTGAATTGCTGACACAATTACAAAGGTTCATTTTGTTACTACAATCCTTTAATTTCTATTTTTGAATTGTTTTTTATAAATAGCTAATCTATTGGACCGATAAATAGATCTGATATTCTTAATATTTATTTTGTTTACTTTCTTAAATAAATTTTAATCTCATTATCAATTGGAAATATTTTCTAACAAAAATTATAATAATTCAAATTTATGACACAATTAATTACTTTGTCATCACCATCTTTGGAGACTAAATTAAATGCAAGTTATAAATTTTGAAAAGCATTATTTTATGCTATTAATTAATTTTCAAATTTTATAGTTATTGAAAATAGATCATATCCTTTTATTACTAAATTTTCTTCATAATAATATAATATCTGATTCATAATAAAAAATTCTGGCCTTCCTATTTGAATAATTTTTATCAATTTAAATGTCTTTGTTTTACTCAAACTAAACAACTAAAGCTAATATGATGAATTTGATTTAACTAAAATTATTAATAATCTATAGTAAAATTGCTCTATCAATTACTTTTCAATATAAAATTTTAATGGTTTGACTATTTATGTGTTATTTAAGGTATAATTATATTATAAATTTAGCTTTTAAGACCCAGTCAAAAAATATTGAATTATCATATTTTCCATTCGATGTATTGCCAATATTTAAAAAACGTTAGTTATCAATCTTTAAATTGAAAGTATATCGATATTATTTAAAGTTAACAATCTAAGGAAATCATCATTTTAATCATAAATAAGAAAATAACCAAAAAATGAAATGTAAATATAACCTTTTTAATTAGAATAAAAAAATTAATATTCACTTTCATTGATTTAATTGGATGCTTTTCTTGAATTAAAAATTTAATATAACATTTTACTTAAACTTCTAGAAAGTTTCTAAGATCTTATATCATTAAGATTGATAAAGATGATATCAGCGTTTTCAGTCAATACTAAAACACTATCTTAAAACTACATAACTTTAATAATTTAGCTCGAGGTTGAAATTTTCTAAACTAGCCATTATTGTTTTTATTAATAAAAAATCCTATAGTATAGATCATATTCTCTAACAAGCAAAATGTTAAATTGATAATGAAATACTTAACAAGAACGAATACTTATAGTTCTTCTATTATAATTGTCACAATCTTGAATAATAATAAATTCATTATTTTTCAGCAAAACTTAATTATTCTCAAAATATAGAAGTACTGTTTCTGTTTGAAAGTATTGTTTAATGCAAATTTATTTGAAATCAAAAGACTCAGTGATATTAATTATAGAATTTGCATTGTCATTTAATAATTATAATTAGTAATGTAAAGGCAAAGCAATATTTTGCTTATTAAATTAAACTTACTCATGTATTTAGCATTTATTTTATAATTCAATATCAGTTATTATTGTATTTATATCATTTGAATTCTTATATTAAACTTTGTAACAAAATGATTTAGAGATTTTAAATATATCATAAGAGAATAATTCAAAAATATACTATTTGGAAGGTATTAAGTATGAATTAAATTCTTAATAAGTATAAAAGTATATTTCGTGTTAGAATTCCTCTATTTGATAAAAGAAATTATATCCTTCTAAAAAGAACAACTGTTGTGCATAAATTTATTTTGTTTATCTAATCTTCTAATTGAAGATGACTTCTAATCCATTTGTATTTAATATAAATATTAGATTTGAAGTTTGGTGTGCTTAAATAAGACTACTACTCTCTATATTCATAAATTATGAATTAGATGGGTTAACAATAAAGATATTGAAATCTTTATTGATCACTAAAAAATTCACCACACAAACTTTTGATATTATAAGTTTCTTGATATTCAAAGAAAACTCAAAAAATTCAAAGAATATTTTCAAATCAGTTTGATAATCAACTCTATATAAATAATAACCCTCCTTTGTAATCAGATAAAATGTTGAAAGAGAATAAGTTTTTAGTTTATTGCATATTTAAATATTCTCAACATAAGGAATACTTTAATTTAATTATTAGAAAATCATAATTTAATTAAGTAAGAGATCAAAGACTAAGCCTGAAAATTTGAATATCCCCCATTCATAGCAACCATAAAAAAAAATAAAAATTTACTCTTCTGATTGCTTTATAATATCACGTTTACATAGCTCTATTTGATTTTATTTCATATCTTAACTTGCTAATAATGTTGTTATGTTCATCATGTCTACAGAATATATCTTTATTCTATCCTAAGAATAGCAAAATATCCAAAAATCTGACAATTACCTATAAAATAGCTATTAACAAAAATCAAATGGCTCAACTTATACTCTTAGTTTCAAATTCATTATTTCTTAAATTCCAACTTAATTTTTATATTCAACCCCAAAATTTGTCATACATAGAATATCATAAGATTAAGATTTAATTAGGTTGCACAACCATTTCATTAACTTAGAATCATTAAAGGTTCTGTCAATCAAAATAGCTGATAAAACTTATTCACTTTCATTGATTGAAATTTTAAAGGCAAATTTAACTAAATTATCTGAAAATTCGTCTAGGTTTTCAAAATCATTGGATTCTCTTTCTAATAATATGGCTCTTTGATTTGATGAAATGAAAATTTCATTATTTTATAATTCAATCGATGGGCATTCTAAAGTGTTAGCAATAAAGATCTAGCAACATAAAACAACAACGTTAGTTAACCTCATGGAAAACACAAACATTATATATTATTTATGTTTCTAATCATTTTAATTAAAATTATTCAAAAATCATCATTTGTATTATAGAGAATGAATTCTATAATATTCAACTTGATAGCAAATAATTATATCAATAAATTTCCAAAGCTACACATTATACTAAATATAAATATTTATCCTTCTTCTTAAAGTTAAAGTTTCATCAAATAAAATTTTCAATGTTTCATTTTAGAATTTAAAAAAAAATTAATTCCTTTCTTTAAAAATATTTCAAATAATTGTTTTATTTTGAGATTTAGTATGGAATAAATAATTATATTTTGATTAAATATTTTTCATATAAGATAAATAATAATCAAAATTATTTCAATTAAACAGAAAATATATTTATTCCTATTTTTGCTATTTATTTATTATTATCCAAGTTCTATTAATTAATAGTTTAAGTTATTTTTTTAATTAATATTATTGTAAGCAGAATAATCCTTTCCAAAATTATTTCTTAACAGATTAATTTTGAATAATATGATGTGTTTGATAATCAAAAAATATAAAGTAATTAATATAATTATAAAACCAATTTTTAAGGTAGATGACATTGAATTTGTATTTAAAAAAAAAATAAACTTTCTCTTATTTGAATAATTCTTGTCTATAAAATAATAGTGATTTGTTTTATTATTTTGATATAATTTATAAAATTGTAAAATTATTTATAAAACTATTACTGAAACTATTTTATTTTAATAGATAAAATTTAATGATTACTTCTAAATTAATTACTTAAATTATTTCATTAAGTTACGTAAAACTTATTATTTTATAATTTATTTATTTATTTAAATAAAATAAATTCATATCATTATGTTATGCTATTAAATTACAATTTAATTATTTCATATGAAAAATTTCAATAATTTTGAAATATTTTATAATTAAAGAATATTTAAATACAATAATTCAATATAAACATGTTATATAATTAAATTACAATTCATTTATTTTATTTTAAAAACTTCAATAATTTCGTAATATTTCATAATTCAAGAATATTTAAAGAAAATAAATGCATATAATTATGAAATACTATAAAAATACAGTGTAATTATTTCAATTTTAAAATATCAAAAATTTTGTAATATTATATGATTAAAGAATAGTTTAACTGGTTTTTACCCATTGTTATATAAATATTGATTGAATCATTAATCCAAATTTAAGAGATCCTATAATATTAAGTTTATGTTTTAATATTCATTAAGTCCTTGAGTATAAGAATTTGTTTTAAATGAAATAAGGGGGATCATTTGATAATTAAACAATATTATGTTGAAATGATTTATTATCACAAGTTTAACTTAATTCAATTATTAAACATTAATATTCTAAATGTAAAGCATCATCATGATAATCTAAAATATTTTACATTTACAAAAAATTGATACTTATTATATTTATTAATTTGATTCTAAAAGCATTCTCTAATGAATAATTTTTAATATAATAATTTATTAATTTCAATGTAAATCTACGTATAAATGCCAAATGGAAAAACTATTATGATTGATGTTCAACTAGAGAAGACAACAGTTAATGATGTAAAAAAGAAGGTAATGGAAAAATCAGGAATAAGATTGGAGGATATTGTTTTAGTTTACAAAAATGATATATTGAAAAATGATAACACTTTAAAGGCATGTGGAATTGACAAGGAGGCGACTTTTGATGCCGAGACAGCAGAAACTTTAACAAAAAAATATAAGTAGAAAATATGTATCTGATATAATTTTATTAAAAAGATATCATTGAAGAAGATGTATAAAAATGGTAATAAAAATTTAGTGATGAAGGAGTGTAGAAAGAAGAATTGTAAGAAAAATTAACATCAACTTTGATTGAATTAGATAAGTAATTATATTATTTATAATTAAGAATTAAATAGGAAAAGGCAACACTTTAGTTTGAATTATCCTCAGTTAAAAACCAGCTTGAACATATTTAAAAGAAAAATATACAGAATTAAGATCTTCAATAATTATAATAGAAATAGCCATAGTTTAAGGGAAACGATATAAAAAACTTAGAATTAGAATTAGCAGCATAAAAAACAATTATTAGTAGATTTGATATGGACAAAGCTGATTATATTTCATAGATTTAATAATTGAGAACAGAAAAACTTGAACTTCAAAAGAAAGTGGAAGATTATTAAAAATTGAAAGAGGATTTGATAGGGAAAACTTATGAAATAAGAGGATTATAAAAAGAAATAGAAATTGCGAATAACCGCGGGAGCCAAACAAAAGATGAAATAAATAGAGAATTATATCAATCAAAATAATAAATAAAGTATAAAATAATATTATATTAGAAAATTGGAACAACAATTAGAAGAGGTAAAAACAAAGCTTCAAGAACTGGAACTAGAAAAAATGAAATAAGAATTGAAATAAAACATTGATTCAAATTAAGTAGATAAATTAAATGATTTACAATAATAAAATAGTTAATTAGAAAAGAGATTAGCAGAATACAGGACTTAAGTGTTTAGTTTAACTAATTAAGTGAAATTGTTGTAGAATAGAAATTAAGATGAAATGAAAAGTTCAATGAATAAAAACGATTTTGCCGCTTTTGATAGGATTTAAGTAAATTCAATTTATATGAAAATAGGGTTATGAATAGTAATTAACTAAACTGAATGCAGAACTTAAGTCTTCTTAATAATCGTTTGAAGAAAGTTAGTAATAGTTATCAGTTGCCAAGAAACAATGTTTCGAAAGTGATAAGAAGATATTAGAATTAGAAAAAAGTGTTGAAAGTCTTACATATTTAATAAAAGAAAAAGATAGAGGAATAAAGGAGAGGGAATAAATTATAAAATAATTACAGATTGATGTAGATGAATTAAAGAAAGATCTGCTGTTGTATTAAAAGAATCTAAGGGATTTTAAATCGATTGCTTAATAAGCAGATCCAAAAAAAGTGTTAGAAATAGATAGTGAAGCATTAAAGATGGAGGAGAGATTGAAAGCAAGGGAAGAGTAAAGAAATAAAGAAGAAAGAAGATTAGAATAGTAAAGATAGGAAGAATTAATGGGAAGATAAGAAAAATTGAAGTAAGAATAATTACAATATTTTGAATTGATGTAGAAAGGTAAAGAACAACGACAAAGAACAGCTTAATGTACTTAGATAAATAAATTTAGTTTTGAAGAGGCAAATGATGGAAAGCCATGGGAAAATTGAGGTTTGTTTTTTAATCGATGTGACTGCATCAATGGATCCATATAAAGAGTCAGCTATGAAATGCATAAAAGAGAGTATGAAGAACATAAAGATAAAGACAAACAGAGATGCTTTATGGGCAACTGTGGCATATTAAGACTTTGGAGAGTTAAAATATTTGGGAGGATAATACAGGTAAATGAATTTCACTCCAATTCCTCAAGAAATAGAAGATTTTTTGGCAAATATTCCTTGCCAAGGAGGTGGAGACCAAGCAGAAGACATTAGAGGAGGTATAATGTAAATGATTAAGAATTTAAATTGGAGCAAAACATTTAGGATAGCTATTTTGATTTGTGATGCTCCTACTCATGGTAAAAGATATAATGGTGGAGTAACTGATAGATCTCCAAATGAAGATATTGAAGATGCTATTAATTTACTTATTGATAATAACATTTTATTTGTTGCTATCCTATTTAATAAAGTGACATTACCAATGTTTGAAGAAATAAAGAAGATGTATATAAATGCAAATAGAGAAGAATTATTATTATTTGCAGATTTAGAAAATACAGAATAAGGTAAAATATGGTAGGATCTTGTCGATCTGGTCTCTTAAGCATCTTAAAGAGCAACTCAAACAAATAATAGAGGAACTAGGTCAAAAAATAATTAGACTAATAAAAGATCATAGACTGGTGCTATGGAGGCACTTTGTAAATCGATAAAAGATCCATTTTAGTTTGACAAATAACCTGGAGTCACTATTATACCAGTTAAGTTTGGTGTTTATCGGGTTGAATTGAAATAAGATTCATTTGAATCTAATATTGAAAATATTAAGAGACTAGACATAAATAGGGATTATAGTGTTTATTAAGAAGGTTAATGGGATTGTATTAGAACGGAAAAGTACTTTGCTTAAGGTTAGATGAAATAAGTGTTTTTGATGAAGAAATTGAATAATTAAAATGAATTATATGTGATTAAAATGCCAATTGGAGATTTAACATATTCCAGTCAAGAATAAGCTGTTTTAGAATGTAGATCTCATCTGATTTCAAAATGTTTAATGAAAAAGTTTATTAGAGAATTATAAGAGGCAAGGGATAGAATTGACAGATCAATCAGGATTCCAGAAGTTTCATACTCAGACTTTTTAATTTTGAAAGATTTATAAAGAGGAAGTAAGAATATTCTTTTAATTTGAGATTCATATTGGATTGCAGAACGATACTTTAGTGGCGAATTTGTAAAGTACAATAATAATTATGGTTTTATTTCAGATGACAAAGCAGATATCAATCATTTTGCATAGGCATATACATATTATACTTATTTCATTTCAAATTTCAATTATATGGTTAATGATGTTCAAGGAGTAGGAAATTACTTAACAGATCCTGCTTTGAATACTAAAGATAGTAATTTATATAAATATTCTAGGTAATTTTGATGAAACCGATATGGGAATTGATGGATAATCTATGTTTATGGTCAGTTATGAAGGAAAGAAACATATGGGAAGAAAATACTTAGACTTATTGGGTATACCATAACCATGAATTATTAAATTATATAAAATAATTAAACATATTCATTATTCTGGTAATTTATATGGTTTTTTAAATGCTATTTTAATGGAAGGATCCTGAGTTACAAGTTGAGTCAAAGTATTAGTCATCTTTTAAGATAAGAATATTTAAGCTTGCAAATATTTGGATAAGCAATTTTCTAAATTACCTAATTCACATAATACTTGAACAGGATTCTTCATCAATATTCAAATAAGGGATTGACATATCTTTTATACATTGTTTGAAACAACGCTTTTATTCTGAATATCCTGTTGTTGATGGATATAAAGTAAGATCTGGCATATCTAAATCACTAATATCAGGACCGTGCATTAATTAATTAAAATATATAAAAAATATTAATTGAATTTTCACATACAATCTACTAAAGCTTTAGATAAATATATCAATTGAACTTCGATTTTAGCAGCAATAGTCAATAATGTGATATGACATAATTCATCTGCACTTAATTTCAAAGGTATAATATCTAGATGTTTCTTTTATAATAAATTTGGTGTCAAACTAACAATCTTTATAAATGCCTTTAGTTCTTTAGGTAGTAATTTATTCATCTTCATATATTATATAATGAATATACCTAGGTTGAATAATCAATATCATCATGTTAATATCGATAAATATTTTGAGAATAAACTCTTATGGCCTTTCTGAATGCCGATGTAGTTATCTATTACTCTTTGCCAAATGTATTTCTTGTCATTTATTTGACTTCCAATAAAAAATCATGTATTGTCTAAGCTCCTTCAGGATATATTGACTTTAAAACAGGATAACTGTTCATTTAAAAGTTGTATTCCTATAAAATATCAATTAATCACTACAGAAAATCTTAATATTTAATATCCAGTTGAGTCCTTTATTTCCTCATTCGTGAAATATTTTTAGAATTTCTCTTTAAACTTTATTATCAATTGATCTTCATCCAAATCAAATAATTCTTGAGGTTCATCAATTGATTATTATTTAGATTTGACTTATACAATTTTTTCAGATGAGTAATTTGGATTGTCAAACTTAGCATCTAATAGTGCTTAGTTTTTTAATTCCTAAATAATATATTCATTTTATGTAAGATCTATTTATTATTATTATTATTATTCTTAAGGTAATGTAAAACTGATACTAGTATTACCAGATTATAATTTAAGAGTATAATCTATTTCTTTAAGTATACCATTACCCTAAGAGAAACATCCTATATTATTAAAATAAATGAATATCATTAATGCTTAGATTAATTCTCTTTTGTTCCACTTATTATTTTTAATTATCAATTATAATGTGTTTTTTAGTGATTATTCCCAAGGTTTCTAAACCAGAATTTTACAAATTTTATCTAAAGATTTAATTTTCTCATCAATACTCTCATATCCTAATTCTACCCAATTTTTCTCTCCCTCATTTAAATAAAAATGCTAAATTAATAAATCATATAATTAGTCACTTCCTGATGCTGCAGCTCCCTAAATATATTAATATTAATTAATTACCATAATTGCAAAGTAATATTTCTCATCTTATGTTAATTTTGTTTTTGTATTTAATAAACTATCTAACACATTAAAATATGGTTTTATTAATGAAGGAAACCATAATAATAATAATTCATGTAATGCTATTCTCCCATAGTTAAAATTATATAATTTAATCAATTATTCTTATAATTGAGTAGAATTTACATCACCAATAACAGGCCAAGGTAAACTTTTAATTTTGCATTCAAGATATTAATTTAATATTGGAATTTGTGGTAAATGTTTTTAGTCATGAAATTTTGATACCCTAAACATTTTTGTCTATTTTCATATTCAATTTTACTTATAAATTATAATCTTTAGCAATGTTTTCATAGCAATCAATAATAGATTAAATTGGAGTTTAATTAACAACCATAGTAATCTTAGATTCAATAGCTGATAAGATATTTTGTTCATCTTTGTAATTATTAACTAATATCTCAAATTATTACAAGCACTAATCAAGCTGATAATTATATATTAATAGCTACATGTTCACCATCTTCTTATGTATTTGCGAGATATTCTGGAAATGCAGATCTAATTTCTTCGCTCTCTTATTCCATAAATAATGATATATTTAATTTTTATAATTATTTATAATAAAATACCCTTATTATAAAATATTTTATGTACGAATTTATTTCTAATCATCATTTCTAATATTATTATTGGTTAAGTTTAGAAAATGGAAATTAATTAATTTAAATAAAAATTATTATAAAAATTTATTATCATCTTGCTAAAATATATATTATTATAAAAATTTAATTTTATTTATAGTCATTATCAATTGTTAAAATTTGGAGACTCTAATAAATATGCTTATTCATTTTAGGCTACTAGGAATAAATTAAATCAAAATATTACCAATTACTTGAAATCAAGAATAATTAAGAATAATTGTACAATATTTTATTTAAAACATTTTTTTGTTTTCAGAAGAAATATATACATTATTATTTTTAAAGTTTCTTCTAGAACTTAATTATTAATATTGAAATAATGAATTTTATTTATTTTAATTATTGAAATAGTTAATTAAAGTGGTTTTTATTTAATTTAATTATTTTAATCTATCATCTATATATTATTTCTGCTAATTTACTTCATTACTTTAAATCATTTTTATATATCCAGATAATTTATCTTTATAATATTTAATATTAAATACTTAAAAGGTTTGATCTATATATTATCCAAGATATTTTTTTCATTTTAAGTAATATCCATTTTTGATGTTAACATTTATTCCAATTAATATTGTAAGTCATTATATTAAATTTGAATATCATTGTTTTGAGATATTTCTATTAAATAATTGCATTCCTTTAATAAATACTTAATGGCTAATTAAAAATGAGTTTATAATTGCTATTTATATTCATTTTAATTATTTTCATCAAAATCTAAAGAGTTGATATCCTCATGTAAGAATGATTTTTAATTATTTTAATTAATTGATACATTCTAGTAAGAGAATTCTTTTGATGAAATATGTTGATTTTAAGATTATTCATGGAAAATTCTTAATTTTATATTTAATTTTGATTTCTACAATTAGAATCAAAAAATTATGCCTTATTTTCTTTATTTTATTTTCGATAAAATGGTTACTTTTTTGGATCAATGAAATGAATATTACAGAAATAGGTGATTATGTTGTCCTTTTGTGTCCAATATTTTATGATAAATTAAATTTATTTATTTTTTGTTTTTGCTTTTGTTAATCGAGAATATTTTAATTTCTAAGGTAGTCAATGTTGATTTAACTTAATTTCTAAATGAAATTATTTATTTAATTACTTTTAAGCTCATTATGACTTTTATGTAATTCAATTATCTTATTGACTTCATTATAAATATTCTTTTTATTTATTTAATTGAATGATTCTATTATGTATTTATTATTATGGTACTATATTATTGGGATAGAAAATTTTGATTCATTTTACTATTATGTTAACTCATCAATTCTATAGTTTAATATAATAATAAATTATATAATCATGTATTGGTTTTCAATTACATCGTATTTTTATTGCAAACGCATGATCTAGTTGAGTAACCCATAGCCAATAACTTTAAACATGTCAAGCACATCTTAAATAAATTTTATTATATTAAATAAATTATATTCTATAAATGATTAGAATTTTTTATTTAAAGTTCATTTAAATTTGATATTTCTTAAAAAATAATATTTCTATTTGATGATTGAGTACATAAAATCTATTATTATGATATATAAAATTATTTTAGAATTTTAATCCTGGAAACCATTTAAAAATATAGTAGATAATTATTAATTATTATATTATGAGTCGACATGATAATGAATTAAATAAATTTCAGATTAATATTGAATATCTAATAAGAAAATTAAATGAACATTGCTCTAAATAATAAGGGAAAAGTGGCAGTAAGAAAGATATATTTAAAACTATTAATTAAATAAATACTATTTATTATGATCTCTCATTTTATTTCTAATTGTAATGCAGAAATATACGTCAAAAATATGTTATATTTTGATTTTCTTTATTATAAAAATAAGTATTGTTTTTCTTATAATTCTTTATTGTTTGTGTTATTATTAATAAAATTAAATTTACAAATATTTACGGACAAACCTAATTCAAATATTTTAGTTAGAATAGAATAAAAATTAATAATATTTTATTTAAGATATTTAAAAGTTTTCTTCTATAAAAAAATAAAAAATGGCTGTTTGTCCTTTTAAACTTAAATACTCTAGGGATGATCTAAATGAAGATTTAATATCTCATTTATTAAAATATAAATTAGATTGATTGTTTTAGAAGTATATAAGAGAGAAACTCTAAATAAATTAATAGCATCATTGTATTCTTTATGATGATAATTTAAAAAAAATAAAATAATATAGAAAACATTCAGATATATAGATTCTTTTTAAAATTGATAGGATTCTTATCCAACTCAATTATTTTATCAACTAATTTTTGATAATTTTTCCCATATTCTAGTTATTATAATTTCATTTTTAAAGGAGTCTTTTGTCTTCTATCTTGCATTGGTCTAAATAAAGTATCTACTTCTTTATTTTATACATTCAATTCTACTTAATTTATATGTTAAGTAAAATCATAACTGCTGTTATTTCTTTTTTTATTATCATATTGAGTTTATTCTTTAGATTATACCTTTTAGTTATTAATAAATGAATATGAATTGTAACTGGTTTTTTTAACAAAAGTTTTGAGTTTCTTTACTCTAAATTAATAGCAAACAAATGGTGTTTATAATCTCTCTTTTTCTAATTTCCTCATTATCAACTCTGTTTTGCTATCCTTACTTTATTATTTATTTTATTTATTTGAAATAAATCTTTATAAAAATTAAGTCTTTTGTTCTTCAAACTCTGTCAATAATTTATAATCTATCATATATTTTTTATATAAATTAATAATATATAATAATATAATTCAATAATAACTAGTAATACATTTTCTTAATAATAAATATTGATCGAACATTTGCTAACTCATTTATCTAGTTATTTTAATTAATTATTCATAATCTAAATTTTAATATCTAAATTTCTTTTGAACATAAAACAAATCTTCCTTTTCTGCTTAAATATCACTTGTCAAATCTATAATCTAATTACTCAAAGGATCTGTTTATGTTAATTTAAATATTTTAAAATTAATTATTCTTCAATATTGTTCCATTCCATTTTATTAAGTGTTGTTATATACAAGTATCAATTTTCTATTCTATCAATATTATTTATTAATCTAATTATAAATACTAGCATTAATTTCCTTTAATTAAATTTCTTTCATTATTCTTGTTTAATTTTAATAAGTATCAATCAAATTATCATTTAGTTATTTTTATTATTTAATAGATTACATGAGTATTTTAGATTGATTTAATAATTCAATATCTACTTTTTATTTAACTTCAGTTTTTATATTTTCTTCTTTTTATTCTTATGGCATAAATAATACCTTTCCAAATTCAAAAACTGATGAACTCATATAAATTAATTTATTAGCCATTCTTTATTGTTTTTATTGTTATTTATTTTACTTTATTCCTATTATTATGATTATTGTTTTTCATAAATATTTAAATAAGGATTATATGGAGATTATTATTATTATTAATGAAATTATGATTACTAATAACTATAATTATTATTAAATTATGATTAATTTACTTAACTAATAATTTATTATGGTTCTTATTAAAATTATTAGGGAAGGTTTTTAAGGAAAATGGAAAATTTTAAGATAAGGTAGATTGTATTTCTAACATTAAATTAATCTAATTAATATAGAATTAATACTATTTTATAATTTTTATTCCATTTTTTGGCAGAGGGAATAAAATTGTTAAAACTAATAAATAATCCATTTTAGATTTCAGCTGATTTATATAATGGATTTGCATGAAATTTATTAGCTCAATATTTTTAAGGAATATAAAAGGTTAGACCTATGGATGTGAAATTTGAAATCTTAATAGGATAAATATTTAAAAGATAGTACCATTGTATTTTATTGGAACTGAATAAGAATGAACAAGTACTGTTTCCTTATAATTATAGAATGGATATATTCATGGCTGTTAATGTTGGGTTTAATTCTAATTTTGAAGGACGATTTTAGCATCCTCTATTGCTTTTTTTCTAGATTAAGTTTGAAGATGATATACTTTTTTTGAATATTGACATTGATCCATCATGATTTAGAGTTCATAAAGTTTTTATTTGAATTGTGGATTTTTTCAAGAGTGTAAATGCTATTATCTGTATTGTTGTTATACATAATTAGATTTAATATTTTAATAACAAAGGAAATGTAAATTAAATGGTAGATAATAGTTTAAATTTACACATTATAAAATGAAATATTATTTATCAAATCAGTTTCATATATATGTTTCGATAATAGAAATAAAATTGAGAGAGAATTTATGAATTAGGTTGTGTATCTGTATATTATACAATTTCCCATCTTAAGTAATAATTTAAAATTAATATTATTTTAATCATTAAGGTTCTTCTTCCTCTTCTGATTCTTCTTCAATAAGACCAATATCATCTTAAAATATTATATAAATATGATATTACAATTTTATTAACTCTAATTTAAGAGTGGTGCATCAGTAACTTCATCAAAAACTAATTCAAATTTATTATCAAGATAATTATCACATATTATTTTTTTAGGATTATAAAAATTTGGTGGTGGAAATATTGGATCTAAAGATATTCTATCAATTATTTTATTTAATACTTGAATGCATTATCTAACATTTAAGGTATTAATTTAGATAAAAGTGGACAACAAATTTCAATTGATGGATTTGTATTGGCTTCAATCATTAATACTTTAAATTAGTCATCTATCATAAAATCTAATCCAAATATTTCAAATGTATTTTCTTTTTTATTTTAATCCATTTTACCATAAACAGCTCTAAATTAATCAGTTGCCATTTACTAATATATAAACTATTATTTAATAATACTTTCATTTTTTAATAAATTTTTGTAAAATCACCTCCTAAATTTTCAATATATACTGCAAATTCTTCAAAACTCACTTTATTACCTTTTTCATACTTTCCATAATCCTCTCCTTTCTTTTATACGGCATCATTAGTAAGATGAATCATTTTATTTGTCAAATTCTTCATTGAGAATTCCTTACTTGATGTTCTTACATATCCTTCTGTATACCAATAACCTTTTTAGTTTCCATTAATAGAAACATATAAACTGTAACATCTAATATCAAATTTTCTTTTATTGTAAAGTAATGGTCTATCAATATACAATTAAACAATAAATGTTTTGTAACTTCCATTTTTATGCAATTCTCTTGAATTTAATATTGATTAGATTTCATTCAAATCTTCAGAGATTTTGATTCCATTACCTCTATTTGTTATTTCTCCTGGTTTTATTATCCAAATATTTCTACGCTTATCCTATTCAGAATTAATCAATTATTATCTCTCTTTATATGCATCCAAAAATTATTTATATTCTGGACCATCTAAACTTTTAATATGATAAGTAACTGGTAAATTGTCAAATACATTTATATTTTATGATTCATAATAAGCTTTCATATTATAAAATAATGCTTTCTTATTTCCTAAATGAAAATTATTTTCCAAATGATTATGAACTTTAATTGGTTCATTATATATTGTTAATTTCATCTTTATATTTTATGCTTATTCTAATGTTAATAATTTAGAAAATCTTCCTTAACCATTCAATATTTGACTATACTATCTAATCTCATTAAAAGATAAAAATTTGCTCCATTATGAATTTACTATCTTATTATTTTTTATTTGTTATTCATTATCACTTTAATCATCTTATTTATATAGTCCAATTGAACCTATTGTAGTAATTGAAGATGAAGCACTTTAACATGTATTTTATTCATTTGGATTTTTAATCAATGATTTCATATTCTCATGAATTGAATTTACTTTTAATTGTGTCCATACAAAATGACATTATTCCATTTCATCTTATATACTCCACCACCATCGAGATTTTAGAATTTATCTTACTAACATACCATTATTCCCTTTCCCAACATATGCCTTGTAAATATTTACTGTTGGTTAAACAAATATACAATTTGAAAGATTCAAAATATTAAAATAATGTCTCATTGAAGCATATTTTTCTTAAAATACAACATCTTAAGGATATTTTGGATCAATAAAATAAATTCCATCAAATTTTTTTTATTTTTTTTTTTTTTATTTAGTTACTTATTATTATTATTATATTGGTTATAATATAATAGGACCTGTTACTTATGGAATTTATTATGATTATGACATTCCAGACATATTTGATATATTTTCAAATTTAGAATTTCGAGATGTTTTAAGCAATTAAGAATTTTTACGAGGTTCTAATAATTTCAAGGCCTTTACTGTTTCAATATCATTTAATCTATTCTATTTGTCCATTTCCATCTTCTATTTCAATTTTTCTATAATATCTCTCTCTGCTCTAGCATCCATAGAATTATTTAGAAATGCTTCTTATAATTTAATCCTTTCTAATGTTACTGTCAATAATACTTATCACATGGATAGGCTTTGATTGTATATTTAAGGTATTCTAACCATCTACTTAAGGAAACATCTATAAGAAACGACCCTACTTAAACTTTTAATGAAGATTGCAAGATTTCTTATAAGATTTTGGAGAATTGGCATCTATTATTGATAAATTATTTACTTTTCTTCTATTTAAGATGATGAATCTACTTTAATACATTTGTATTATTGTATCTCTCAAGTTTTGGTAATTAAGATGTAGGCATAGGACTTTCAGATCTCTCTTAGTTTTCATATCGATATTATGTTATATGATTTGGATTATTTAAAACTGATTTTATAGAATCTTTAACGAGGTCTTGAATTCCAGGGGATTTTAATAATTATTCCATGGATCTATGTTTTTAAGGAGTCAAATGTTCGCTATATTTAATATTCTACATATTTTGAAATGCTTAATATATTAATTGGCTATTTTATACTAAAATTTAAATAAGGCATTGCTATTTGTTCTTTATCAGCCATTTTATATAATTATAATATTAATGAAATTTATATATACATTCATGACCAAAGATTATTAAACGAAGCATTGGTAAAACTTTTGGAAGCCCAATCCATACTTAATAACTAGGGATAATTATTATTAATTACTGATTTCTAAGTTAAATTAGGTTTAAATGTTGGTAAATATTTGTTTTCCAATTTCATTAAATTTTCTTACTTCTTCTATTAATAATCCAATAATCTCAATTCTACTTTTTCATTTTTATCAATATTATTATTACCTCTCCTTTTAATTTATGGTTTAAATGTCAATTATTAAACAATTTCTTTATCTTTTTTTATTTGTTCTGTCAAGATATGATCATTTCTCTTTTCTAACCAACTTATTTATTAATTAACAAATTCTTCTACATTAACCTCTGCAACACTATTTTTCTTGAATTTCTCTTTCTCTTTTTCCCATTTATCTTAAAATTATTTTTCTTATTCTTCCTCTTAATTTTTCTTCATTTCTTACTACTATCTTACCCATTCTTACTTTTTCTATATTATTTATTATTATCTTATATGAATAGGCACATAGTATTCACAATCAGTCTTAATTCTTTATCCCTAAGTTTCCATAATTTCTTGTCTTTTCTATCGTTAATTATTAACTTTTTATTTTTTTGGTGTTTCTTTTTCTTAAAATTATTTGATTTCTGTTTACTATTATCCCTATTCCTATTTTTTAATAGTATCACCCACTTTATATTTAATCTCTTTAGTTTAAACAACCTTATGACTTTAATCTTATTTATATTAAACATCTTCAGCCACTTCTGCTTCTTCCTTTAATTCTTAATCCATTATAATTACAATTTATTATTACGATTTACTAAGATTTAGACACTTTTGACTTTCATAAATGAAATATTATACTTAATAATTTGAAAATCTTTAATTTTTGGAAGATTTGGTAATAAATCAGCTTAAATAGCCATATCTTTAAATTAACAAATTTATTTGTATGATTCATCTTCTTCAATCAATTATTTTAGTTTTCTATCCAATAGTATACAACTCTTTTAATTAATATATGTTCTAGCAATAGTTTATTATTTTTCTTTATTTTTTTCTTCATCAACTAATTTTTACAATTATTTTGTTCTTCTTTTCTCAAAATCATATAATCTATTTACAGTCTCTAAAAATGCTTTAAAATTTAATATTTTGATATTTACCTTCATCAGATTCTAAGACTACTTCATTTTTCTATTTCTGTTAATCTTCCTTTTATTTCTACTCTTCTTTTTTCTTTTTGACTTCTTCTGATTTAATTTAAGATTACTTTATATTTTATTAAACTTTATCAAATTCTATATTATTGATATTTTTAATACTTTTAACTTGCTTTTCTAATTATGGTATTGGTTTTTTAGGCATTTCAATAACTGGTTTTTATGGCTTCTTAGTTAGATCAGATTTCTTTTTATTTAAAGCATCTTAAAAGACTGTTTATGAATTAGTAAATTTTCCATTTTAAAGCTTTAATATTGATGACTCATAAGTAATTCTAGTTGTTTGTACTTATCTGACTGGAGACAGAGAATTCTTAGTAGATTCAACTTATAGATATCTTTCTAAAGATTAAGATTAAACACTTTCTTTTGAGTCATCTAATTGTTAATTCATTATCAAATAAAATTTAATTATAATATTTTATATAATACATGAATGAGAATATATGTAGGGATTGTAAAATGACATTTGAATCAAGTGAATAATTGGCTAATCATGTTAAAAGAGTATTAAAGCATAAATTGATGATAGTTTTGTATAAATTCTGATTATGGTAATTTAAATAAATTGGAACAGAAACATGAATATGTTACAAAACCTGCCTATCCAGAAATGAAACCTAGTTTAAAATAATAGGATCCATCATCACTTAAGAATTATGGTGGATACACATTAGTATGTAGATTTAATAAATCAGGACTAAATCAAATCAAATTTAAAAACTAATGATGATGATTTTAAAAGATTGGAAAATGCTGTACTTAGAAAGAAAGAGGATGAATTAATTGATTAAATAGATAAGCTAAAATAGGACAGATAATAAATGAGAGTAGTTAGTGATTAAGATGAACATATTTATTCAATACTGTTACAAGAAGTAGAATTGAAAAAAGAAAGAGAGTTTTAATGTAGAATAGAAAAAGAATAGATACGCAAATTAATTAATGAAATAGATTCATGGAAGATGTCTGTATTAGAAGAATAAAAAAAATAAATGTTAGAAAAGTTATTAGTGGAAAGAGAAGATTTGAAAAATAAATAATTATAATTAATAGAGGATATCAGATTATTTACTAGAGGACATAAAACATTTTTTTCAATGGAATAAGCATAAAGAGTTACTGATAATAGAATAATAGCATCAGCTTAATATTCAGAAGCAAAATAATAATTAGTTAAATTACATACTAGATTAGAATATATAGATGCAGAGAGAAATAGAATTTAAGATAATGTAGAGAGAATTAAATTAGGAGATTTTGGAGAAGTAAGAAGAGGAGAATCTTCAAAAAATAGTATACGTAATAGTTAATAAATATTGAATGATTAAAGTTAAATAAGAAATCATTAGAATTATGAAGAAATTGCTAGGATGAAAGAAAAAATAGCTTAAGATGCTTAGAGATTAGAATAATTAAAAAGAGAATAAATGGATAGAGTAGATAGATTAAAAACATCTAGACCTTAATCTCATTTATCAAATTAAGTTATAGATGAATTATAATAATTAAAAAATGATTATTAATAAGCAGGAGGTTAAGATCCTAAGTTTTTAAATGATGTAAATAATTTAGAATCATTTTATAAAGGAGCAGTATAATAACCATAGTAATTATAATAATCATAATAATAATAATAATTTTAATAATAATAATAATAATAATAACCTAATTAATTTTTATAATAATAACCAATATAAATATTTTAATAATAACCTATGTTTATTAATCCTTAATAATAAGAAATTTAAACAATTAAACCAAAAAAGAAAGATTTTAATGATCCATTTTAATAATTTTCAAGAAAGAAAGAATTTTTCTTATAAAATAATGTAAGAGGAGTTGATTTAACTAGAGAAGAATAAATATTGATGAATTTACAGGCATAAGAAGTAGATTCTTTAAGAATGATTTCAAGAATTCCGATTGGAACTGAAATTTATAGATTTAAAATGGAATAATATAAAGAATTGTCAACTATGAGAGCTGAAATGGAAAAAATTATTTAAGAATAAAGATTATAAAGAGTAAGAAGAAATTTCGAAAAGAAAAGAAGAGAAAAGGATAAAGAATTTGAAAATAATAAATGGGTTGATGATCAAAGGAAATTTATAATAGAAAATAGATTAAGAAATGATTTTGGAGAAGCAAGAAAAGAGAGTCATTTATATGATCCAGCTGAAGGATTAGTTATTCATTGGGATTATGTTTTGGGATTACCTAGAAAAACTAAACTTGCATAATTTGTTTTTGCAGTATTTAATAATATGCAATAATTAAATTAACCAAAATTAATAGAACCTTATGATTGTGAAATTGAAGGAGAGAGTTCTAATCGTGTATTAATTGGAGAGACTAGTCAATTATATGAAATACCTGCTCATCCAGAAGTATTAATTATAGTCGAAGTCTAATTACCTGTAAGTAAGAAATTAGAAGAGAATATTGGTAAAACATAATCTTATGGATGGACATAAATTGATTTATTTGATTAATAAAGATAATTAAAAAGAGGCAAATTCAAATGTCCATTATATAAAGGACCAACAGATGCTACTATTACAATTGAAAATATTGCTAAATTGGAACCTATTCCAAATGCATGGTTTCATATGAGAATTACATATCCAAATGATGAAGAATTAGGATAAGTTAGATCCATTTATCCAGAATAGACTGCCATGGAATATAATATACCTTATATACATTTGAGAAGTTTATTTGATAGAAATTATGAGGCTGCCATTGAAGGAAAGGAGTAAAATAATAAAGATAATGGAAAATTTAGTTTGAATGGTTAAAATTATAAAGTAACTGAAGAAGTAGAAGTATTTGGTAATAAAAGAAAGAATACTCCATAAATTAAATAATATGTTTTAAAAGGAGATATGAAGAAAGGTTATAGAGTTTAAATACATTTTATTTAAAATAAAATAGCCAATAATTTTATGAGAGTCATGTGTGCAGCATTGACTGATTAACATCTTATGATGGATCCAAGTGGTTAACCATTAGCATTTAATACTACTATTCATGATCCTAGTAGTCCTAATCCAGGATAAAATACAGAATCTAATCCATTTCCACTTATAGAAGCTGATCCTTAAATGAAAGGTATCAGTAACAAAGCTGCTAGATCAATTTTGATTGAATTTAATGAAGAATATAGATTTTTTTACAATTTTCAAGAATAAGCTATGAGTTCTGGAAAAGTATATTGTTAATTGATATTATTTAGACTATTTACCTAGGATTTTAAGTAGTTGAAAAGAATGCATCTTAAGGAGGAGCCAATACTACAATGACAATGGGAGAATATGAAGTTATTGGTTGGTCTTATATAATATTTGTCAAACCTGATGGAAGTGTTAGAACTGGGAGAAATACTTTAAATTTATTTAATCCACCTTTGAAGAGACCACCATTAGATGAATCAAATGTAATTAAAGTTATTTATCTTAGTTATCACAATCAGGAATTAAATTAGATTATTCTTTGTATGACTTTGAATATAATGATGAAGATATGATCAAATGGAAAAATCAAAGAGTTTTTTGATATATGACTTATATATATAAATTTAATTAATTAATATGTAACATTAAGGAGATTTTATGATCAATGTATATGAAAATTCTTATTTTAGGCTGATTTAATTATCAAACAACTTTAATGTGCAGTTTGCATCAATGAATTCAATAATGCATTTATAACTAAATGTGGGCATTCTTTTTGTTATGTATATATTGAATAATTAAAAATAGAATTGTATTGAAGAAGTCATAAATAGATATCATAAGTGTCCTTTATGTAACTTAGATCTAAATAAAACAGATATCTTTAAGAATAATCAAATAAATCAAATAAAATGTAATTAGTTGATTCATAATAGAAATAATTGATGAATAGAAAAAATAATAATTAAATAATAAAGTAAATAATATATTTGGAGATCAAACTGCTAATACTTTCTTGCCTGATTATAAAATGATATCAGATGTAATTCATTTTAATAATCAAGATCTTTAAAAATGCTGTCTAATAAATGTATAATATATATGAAAGCAAATATATCGATGCAATAGAAGAATATAAAACTCGTTAATAAGAATTAAAAATTGAATATATATAAAAGTTAGAAGTTGTTATGGAAGTATTAAAATAAAATTATAAAATTAGGATGAAGTCAAAGAATAAATTACTATTAATTATAAGGAGGCAATGAAACAAATAGAAAACAGTTTTAAATAATTAAAAGAATATTATGCTGAATGTGTACATAAAACTTTAGAGTAATTTAAATGTGAATAGATTGATGTAAGAATTTTATATAATATTAAGATTCTAATTTAAATTGTATTACCCTAATAAAACACTTAATTTCCATGGCCATTTAAAGTCAGCAATAGAATAAGTTCAATTGCTGAAGTTATTCATTCACACTTTGATAAAAAAAATGATCCTATCTAAAACTTTGATCCTACTAGATTAAAAATTGTATTCTGCAAACCTTAAGATCTTTATAAGATAACTCAATAAGTAATAAGGATGGAACTTGATGTCATATCTTAATAATATCAAATATATCCAATGAATAGTGAGATATTTTTGGCATCTCTAGGTCAAGTTAAATAAGGATCAATTATTGTTGTTATGGGTGAGATAAAATTAAAGAGCCAATAACCTAAAGAATGCATTACATATAAATTTAACAAGGATAGATTGGTTGATTATTTTAGTTGTTAATAATGTGGAATACATTGGGTATGTTAAATTTGTAAAGACTTCTGTCATTAAGGTCATCAATTAAAAGTATATAGACAACAAGTGAAACCAGATTGGGCTTGTTGCTATTGTGTATCTAAGGGATTCTGTAAGGCATTAAATAAAAATAATTAATGATGATTTAAATTATTAATATTATTGTTATTTCAATTATGAGTTAAATCATTCAAGAAAATAATTCCTAAGTTAGCAATTAAGCATAAGAGTCAGATCAAGAGATGAAAAAATAATAATATCAATTCATCTAGAGTGAGAATTAAGTTTTAAGAAAAGGTAAAAAACATACAATTCATCAATTTTACAAGAATTAAACAGATAGATATTTGGAAACCCTTAAATCAAAAAAATCAAATGATACATCAGAAATTATGAATAATAGTTTTTAAGCACCAAATAATTCAGAATAAGACTAAGAATAAAATAAAGATCAATAACTTTTTATTCGAAAAAATGATAGGAAATAATCAACTAAGTAATTTTATCAAAAGAATGTGATGAAAATGTTAGAGAAATTTGCTAAAAAAGAAAATGGATAAACAATAGATGATAATATCAATTCAAATTAAACTAATTAAAATGATATAAATTATTCCGAAAAACGAAATGAAGAATCATAAATTTATATGAATAATTCATTATTTTAAGAATCTATCAAATTAATTGAACTAAAAAAAAACTTAGAAATTATGCAATCTAAATAATCACCTCTAATTCAATTAACAAAAGATGATATTTTATAACTCCAAAATTAATAAATAAAATAAGATACTACATAACAAAATATCAATGTTTTTTTCAATTCAAATACTAATTCAAAGGTTAGTGCAATGAAAGGAAATAGAAGAAATCAATCCATTCAAAAATCATAACCAAAAGTCTAGTTTCCCTTTTTAGAATAAAACAATCTAGATTAAGAAATTAATCAAAATCTTATCTTAGGATAAAATGAAGAAATTAAATTAGATCTTAGTAAATTAAATGCAATCAACAGAATGGAAAAAAAGAAAAAAAAAAGTAAAAACTATTAAAAATTTTATTATTAGATGAAACTTAATCTGCTAACAGTAAGAGATCAATTAGATCAAATTGGACAAACAAAACATTTAAAGAAAAAGCAGAAGAAGTTGCAGTTCCAGCAGTTGGAACTGCCATTGTTGGTTCTTTAGGAGTTATGTTAGCTAAAAATGTTTTAAAAGGAAAATAATAATTATTGGGAATAATACCAGCATTAGCCTGCAGTGCTTATTATTATTACAAAGTAAAGAAACAAAATGAAGTCGAATAAGAATTTGAAGATGAAGAAGATATAAATTCGGAAGAAGAACAAGATAGTACAAGATTAGAATAATGAGAATATATACTATTATAAATGCATCAATTCATCGGAGTAACGAATTTATGATTCCTAAATTCTCCATACATATAAGTTCTATCTTTTGAAGTATACTTTCCTTTACCATGCCATTTATCTTGACTCCATTCTCCTTCATAAATATCTCCATTTCTAAAATAAGAATAATTATCATACCCAAATGTGTATATTCCTTTTCCATGCTTTTTATCTCTAATCCAATCTCCATCGAATGTATCATTTGTCATACTATAATAATATTTCCCTTTTCCTTATTTTTGATCCTCAAACCATTCTCCTTAATATATATCACCATTTGCATAATGCATTACTCCATATCCAGTTCTAAAGTCTTTCTTAAATTGTCCCTTATAACGATCCTCTATTTAATGAAATAATTAATTTACTTGAGGCTTAATAATAAAATTCTCCTTCTCCATCTTTTTTACCATCCTTAAAATATCCTTGATAAATATCTCCTGATTCATATTGTAAATACCCCAATCCATTCATCATATCATTCTCAAATTATCCCTTATATATCTATTTTCCTTCACACATTGTATAAACTCCTTTGCCACTCTTTTGATTTTTTAGCCAGGTTCCATCAAAAGTGTCTCCATTTGAATAAAATATCTTTCCAATACCATTTAATTAATCATCAACCCATTAACCTTCTACTCTTGCTCCGTCATTAAATCTCATAATTCCAAACCCATTTCTTTTATCATTCTAGAAATCTCCTTTATATATTTCTCCATATGCATATTTTGCCTCTCCTTACCCATGTTTCAAACCCTTATTCCATTATCCATCATAATATTCTTCTGTACTATAATAGTAATATTTTCCTAATCCTTATTTTTAATTATTAACCCAATTGCCATCATAAGTATTACCATTCAAATAGTAATATTTACCCTATCCTTCCTTACAACCATTCTTAAAATTACCACTATAACGCTCTCCATTTACGAAAAAATAATGTCCATAACCATTAAACATATCTCCATCCCAATCTCCTACATAAATATCTCCATTATTATAATAATTTATTCCTCTCCCTTATCTAATATTATATATTAACAAACCTATTCTCTTTTCTCCCACTAGCTATCCTTCATATCTACTTCCATCCACATATTTCTTTATTCTACAATCACTTCTCAACAACCCTTTATCATCATAGACATTCAATCCTTTGAAATCTTCTAAAATTTTTCTTTTTTGCTAATACATTAAGAAAACTCATTACTTAAGTTAATTCTTAACTATAACCAGTTATATTTTTTGCTTGTTTCCCTTCTAAAATTTAGACAATATTTGTTTATTCGTTATCTTCAGACATAATTATAAATAAAATATAATATCACTTCTTAATTCTAAATTTATTTTTTTCTCAAATTTAATTGTTTATTTGTTGATTTATTTTTGTTGAATAATTCTCCTTTGGTGATATATCTGAAATAGTGTTTAGTGCTAAGTAAATTCATTTTTTAGGTACAATCATAAGGATTAAATTGATATAATTTAATTTTTGGTTTATTTTTTTTTAAAGAAGACTTTTTTTGATTTATTTCAATTCTTAACTTATATATTTTTAAAGAATTGGAATATAATTTGAATGTTCTATTGGTATTGTTAACTTGATGGCCATTTTACTACTTTTCTTCTTGTTAAGAATACGATTCCATTTTTTTGCTTATTATATAACTGATTTGATGAATCTTTTCATTTTTTTCAAATTGTTTTTAGAACTACAAATATTCAGAAAATTAAATTTTTATATTTTCTTAAGTCAGTTCCCTTTTAAATTCATCTCTATATATATCGAATAACCCAGGTGAGATAGGAGATCAAAACAAAATCAGAGTTTATTAATAAGTAATAAAAAATTTCAACTAACCCTAATAAATAATAGTAATAAGAGACCCCTAATTTCAAAAAGTAATAAAAACAATGCCCATGAAAAATTTAAGCAATTATTAATTGTTATTTATTTTTTAATAAATTTTTTCTGTTCATAAATGCACATTATTAAAATCATAACTTTTTTATCATACTTGATAACAGTCCTGTCTCTAAGAGCAAAAAAATTCAACAACTTTTGGGTGCAGTGCGATTTATATTCAATCCTATCGAAATAGTGTGGAATAGTTTAAAGTATTTTTAAATAGAATCAAAAGCCTGAATTCACTGAATTTGCATCATTCAACTTATCAATTTTTTTTTATTTAATCAGAAAATTAGAAATAGATCGATATATCGATTCAATACTACCATATCTGAGTAAATCATTAAACTAAGTTGGATTTTAATTTATAAAAGCTAAATATTATAATATCAAACAATCAATCTTGCTGCCTACCTCAATGATTTCCTTGCTAAGCTTTTGGAAAAAAATTTTTAATTATTTTCGTTGATAATATCTCCACTATAATTAATTAATTAAAAATTAATAAATATTATAAATCATTGAATAATTAGTGTTAAGTCTTCTCCATAGGCTTATAGAATAAATGGAATAACAGTTTTATTATTCTTAGGAAGCCTAAATTTGAACTACTCACTATCGGTGTTATTTTTTAATATAGTTAAACAATTATTAGGTGAATCGAAAGTAAATAAAGCATGATTTCCATTTTCAAATCCTCCAATTTTTAATTTTTTTTTTATATTAGGATCTTGTATGAGTAAATTTCCTTACATAGAAATGAAAAAATATACACCTTTTGGTAAATAATTTAATTAAAAATTAATATTTTGTATTTCAGAGTTGTCAATATTTTAATCACATAATCCAAAATATGATTATGAGTCATTAAATCTATATAATAATATATAATTTTTATACATTGAATTAATAAATAATTAAATGATTGTAAAACCATTACTATATAGATTTTAATAACGTTAAATTTCAGGTAATTAAGAATCAATCTATAAAATACTTATAATTTACCCATGAAACTTATTGTTCTTCATTTATTGATAATAAATTGTCATTTTACTTCAACTGAAAATTTACTTAATTTAATTATTTTAACATTTATTCATTAATTTTATGAAGTTAATGATTGTTAAATTATTAATTCTATTCTTTTAAAAAATTTTACGCATAATCTTTTCTATGCAATTTTTATTGAAGTTTTTATTCTTAGACCAATAATTTATTTTTCTCATTTTATAATTCTTATTAAAGTTATTTTATTTAGTTTAATGCTTAAATTTTTTCATTTTCTAATTTTTCTGATTATTATTTTGATTATTCTTTTACCTTTTTTAATTCTTATTAAAACTATTTAAATTAGCTTAAAGCTTAAGCTTTCTCATTTTCTAGTTCTTATTTATATTTTTTTGCTAAATCTTTTACTATTTATAATTCTTATTGAAGTTAAAGTTATAATATTTAGTTAAACGGTTAAGCTTTATAATTTTCTAATTCTTCTTATTATTTTTTTGTTTAATCTTTTACCTTTTACAATTCTTATTGAAGTTATTTTATTTAGCTTAAAGCTTTTTCTAATTCTTCTTATTATTTTTTTGATAAATTTTTCTCATTTTATAATTCTTATTAAAGTTATTTTATTTAGTTTAATGTTTAAATTTTTTCATTTTCTAATTTTTCTGATTATTATTTTGATTATTCTTTTACCTTTTTTAATTCTTATTATAACTTATAAAATTAACTTAAAGCTTAAACCTTTTCATTTTCTAATTATTCTTATTATTTTTTTGATTAATCTTTCTCATTTTATAATTCTTATTAAAGTTATTTTATTTAGTTTAATGTTTAAATTTTTTCATTTTCTAATTTTTCTGATTATTATTTTGATTATTCTTTTACCTTTTTTAATTCTTATTATAACTTATAAAATTAACTTAAAGCTTAAACCTTTTCATTTTCTAATTATTCTTATTATTTTTTTGATTAATCTTTCTCATTTTATAATTCTTATTAAAGTTATTTTATTTAGTTTAATGTTTAAATTTTTTCATTTTCTAATTTTTCTGATTATTATTTTGATTATTCTTTTACCTTTTTTAATTCTTATTATAACTTATAAAATTAACTTAAAGCTTAAACCTTTTCATTTTCTAATTATTCTTATTATTTTTTTGATTAATCTTTCTCATTTTATAATTCTTATTAAAGTTATTTTATTTAGTTTAATGTTTAAATTTTTTCATTTTCTAATTTTTCTGATTATTATTTTGATTATTCTTTTACCTTTTTTAATTCTTATTATAACTTATAAAATTAACTTAAAGCTTAAACCTTTTCATTTTCTAATTATTCTTATTATTTTTTTGATTAATCTTTCTCATTTTATAATTCTTATTAAAGTTATTTTATTTAGTTTAATGTTTAAATTTTTTCATTTTCTAATTTTTCTGATTATTATTTTGATTATTCTTTTACCTTTTTTAATTCTTATTATAACTTATAAAATTAACTTAAAGCTTAAACCTTTTCATTTTCTAATTATTCTTATTATTTTTTTGATTAATCTTTCTCATTTTATAATTCTTATTAAAGTTATTTTATTTAGTTTAATGTTTAAATTTTTTCATTTTCTAATTTTTCTGATTATTATTTTGATTATTCTTTTACCTTTGTTAATTCTTATTATAACTTATAAAATTAACTTAAAGCTTAAACCTTTTCATTTTCTAATTATTCTTATTATTTTTTTGATTAATCTTTCTCATTTTATAATTCTTATTAAAGTTATTTTATTTAGTTTAATGTTTAAATTTTTTCATTTTCTAATTTTTCTGATTATTATTTTGATTATTCTTTTACCTTTGTTAATTCTTATTATAACTTATAAAATTAACTTAAAGCTTAAACCTTTTCATTTTCTAATTATTCTTATTATTTTTTTGATTAATCTTTCTCATTTTATAATTCTTATTAAAGTTATTTTATTTAGTTTAATGTTTAAATTTTTTCATTTTCTAATTTTTCTGATTATTATTTTGATTATTCTTTTACCTTTGTTAATTCTTATTATAACTTATAAAATTAACTTAAAGCTTAAACCTTTTCATTTTCTAATTATTCTTATTATTTTTTTGATTAATCTTTCTCATTTTATAATTCTTATTAAAGTTATTTTATTTAGTTTAATGTTTAAATTTTTTCATTTTCTAATTTTTCTGATTATTATTTTGATTATTCTTTTACCTTTGTTAATTCTTATTATAACTTATAAAATTAACTTAAAGCTTAAACCTTTTCATTTTCTAATTATTCTTATTATTTTTTTGATTAATCTTTCTCATTTTATAATTCTTATTAAAGTTATTTTATTTAGTTTGATGCTTAAATTTTTTCATTTTCTAATCTTTCTGATTATTATTTTGATTATTCTTTTACCTTTTTTAATTCTTATTATAACTTATAAAATTAACTTAAAGCTTAAACCTTTTCATTTTCTAATTATTCTTATTATTTTTTTGATTAATCTTTCTCATTTTGTAATTCTTATTTAATTTTGGTAATTTATTATAATGTCTTAGCTTTCTCATTTTCTTCTTCTTCTTTTTATTTTTTTCTTACATCTGATGTTTTATCTTTTTCATTTTGTAATTCTTATTTAAGCTAAGTAATTAAGTTTTATGCTTAAGCTTTTTCATTTTATAATTCTTATTCAAGTATAGTAATAGTTTAATTTAACTCTTGATTTTGATCTTCATATATTTTTTTGGTTTTTTCCAATTCTTCGATTTGTTTCTATAGATCTGTATTGTTAAAATGGAAATTTAATTTTTTAAAATATTTTTCCAAATTTTTATTCACTAATTCTAATTGAATTTTGTCTTGTTCGATTTTTTATATATCTTATTAAGATTTAAGGGCCTTTTCAATTTACTTTAGCCTTTAAATGATTTTAGTTACTGATTCCTATTTTTATAGAATTAAGCTATTCAACTTTTTTATATCGTTATATTTCTTATCCATAATATTTATAATTCTATCATACATATTTAGGAATAATGGTACATTTTTTCTTTTACATAACATTTCACTAATTTCTTGAATATTATTATCTATTTCTTTTATTTTTTTAATCTATAAATCAACCTCATTATCCCCCTAATTTAGTATGTTACTTAATATTGTTTTCTTAAATTATTCTTTTAATGAATTACAATATTTTTCATCCTGCTAAAATATACTTTCCATAAATTTGAATTAGTTTTCTTATATTTATTTGTTTTTTTTTTCTATTTTCTTCAAATTACAAATCGTATTTTCTTTATTTTCTAAATTCTACCTTGAGTTTTATTCAATTTCTTCAATAGAAATTTTCTTGATTTCTTGTTAGTTTTCATCAGCAACCATTATTCTTGTTACTATTATTTCATTATTGTTATCAGATTGCAAAAAAACATATTCATATTTTCCTTCTCTAATTTAACCAAGCATCTAGATTTTTTAATTTTTTATTTATTTATGATAAAAAAATCTACTTGGATACCTCTTTGAGTTTGAAATGAGTAATGGAATTATATAAATATTTAACCTTGGCTCCTTTAAATTTTACAAAAAAATAAATCTCAAATAGATATAAAAAGTATATATATGCAATTGTAAATATAATATTTTTATTACTTAAAAAAAATGATAGCAAAAACCTTATTTGTGATTTCATTTTTGTCATTTGGTGTTCTTTCACATTAAAAATGCAATATGTATCCTCATTCTGCTTAAAAATGCATTTAGAATACTGAAAAAATTAGATGTAATTGAACACAATTAATAGTAGGCGAATATGATAATTTTGGTCATGTATGTAGTAATAACATGGAGACCAATTTAGGTTGTTCTCCAAATCTTAATAAGGAGGCATGCTTGAATTAATTGACAGATGGCTATAACAATAGAATTTAATGTAATTTAGATATTTTATAATATAAAGGTATTTTTCAATCGAAGTGCAAGACAGTAGAGAAAATTTAGTTGTAAAAATATGGATGCTATGAAATGTTCAACAAAAATTCCTGTTTAAATGTGCAAAAACATTCGTGTATATGGTAGGATAATAGATGTTAACCTTTAAAGTAAACTATATAAGATAATTCAAAAATATGTAACATATTCACAGCTCCAGTTACTCCTTTTACATGTGCTTAATTACCATCTGGTCTTTGTAATAATTTATTATTTATATTAGGTATGAGTAGTGGATATGAGGGAGATTTTTAATGTGTGGAACTAACATTAGACTAGTTATCAAAACTTTCTTGTTATGAATTAGGATTAAATGAGGAGGCTTGTTTGGCAATCAATAAGGAAAATCAATATTGTATAATATAAAATATTTATATTTAGGTATTTTTAAAGATAATGAATGTATGGAAATAAAATTACCAGATATAAAATCATGCGATAATAAATTTAGTTAATCTTTATGTTTGTCTATTTAAAATCCAGATATATAATGTGAATGGGTTGATAATAAATGCATAAAATTTGAGAAAAACTCTGAATTTTAGTGTGTTACTTACAATTTGGTTAATGTTTCTGTATGTTAAATATAAAATGGATTTTGTTAATATAATGTGAGAAATCATAAATGTATGAATATTGAAAAAAAATTAATACATTTGATATCATGTGATACACCAGGATTGTCAAGATTAGCATGTTTATCAGTTCAGAATTATAATTGTACATTTATAAATGGTAGGTGTTAAGAATTATCTGAATTCGAGCTTAATTTCTTTTAATGTCATATGGAATTAAATAAATAAGCTTGTGTAAATATATTAACTCCTTTTTAATATTGTTTTTGGAATGGAAATAATTGTGAAAGAAGAATTATAAATTAAGATTATGATTGTCCTTTAAAATTTGATAATAATAATTTTATTGTAAATGGTAATGTTTGTTAGGCAATTTCTAAAAATAATATTAAATGTAAATATAATAAATAAACACATTTATGTATTGAGAGTTCAATAAATGATATTTGTGAATCTTCATTTATAAATAGATTTGGTTGTCTAAGTATTATTAAAAGTGATTAAACATGTTAATGGACATCTTTAGGTTGTAAAAATATTGAAGTTATTCAATATATTACTACATGTGCTAGTTTGGGAAGTGCTAATCCAATTGCATGTTCTTAAGTACATGAAAAAGAAGAGAATATAGGTTGTTATTTTGATTATATAAAATAAAAATGTGTTACATTAACTATTAGATTAAATCCTAATGCAAATAAAAATGAATATTAATAGTATCAATAAGATTTAGAAACTTTGAGAAATATCTAATGTAATCAAATATAATAAGGTATAAATCGAATTACTTGTTCTTCTATCACAACTAAAGATACAGCTTGTATGTGGAAAAATAATTAATGTATTTAGATAGAGAATATGAAGGATATATAAAATATACCATGTTTACATTTATAATATGCTAATTATGGAGCATGTTCTTATGTATAATATGGAGGAGAGGTTTGTAGATATAATAGTGATATTAAGGGATGTGTAAATTCTATTAGTCCTCATATGTAATGTAATGAACCTGGATTAAATAGTTCTGGATGTCTAAAAGCTGAAGGTAAGTGTTAATTTATAAATAATTAATGTTAAAATCCAGATAAATAAACAGAAGAAAATAATAATGAAATTATTGAAATTCCAAAACCAGAACCTTCATAAACATGTGGAAGTACATCTCCTACTAAAGCAGTTTGTGTTTCTTTTACAGCTACTTAATTAATATGTTAATGGAGCAAATCAAAAGGTTTTTGTGAAGCTGTTGAAATTAAAGAAAATTAATATTGTCTTGATTTTGCAAAACCTGATATATAGGTTAATTCTAATGTATGTGCATCTATTTTATCTGATTTTCCTGATTATGATTATCAAAAAGGAAATTAAGTTGATAAAAATAGAGGTTATTGTTATTATAATAAATAAACATCTATTTGTTAAATTAAAAAAGAATTATGTAACACTAATTGTTGTACAGAAAATGAAAATATAGGAATAAATGCTCATTCATGTAGTAAATTTTCAAGTACTGAAATAGGAGTTTATTGTTATTTTATGAATTTAAGATGTTAGGAATTAACTTTTGAAACTGTAGATATAACAAATCCAAATGAAGTTAAATAATATTATAATGAAATAAAATTACCATGTTCTTCTATGAATAAGAATTCTTGTCATATGATTAATTGGTCACCAGAATAATAATGTTATTATAATGGAATTATCTGTAATCAATTTAATTAAAAATATCATAATAATTATCGTATTTTCACTGAAGAACCTTATATCTTAAATGAGAATGCTTGTATTGCTATAGATGGTTAAATAACTGAATTTAATACATTAAAATATATAGGATATGATGATATTAATAATAGATGTTAAGAACTTTTATTAGATCCTGAATATTCATATAATTATTGTGAATAAGTAAAAGGTAATAGAAATATTTGTCAAAGATATACTGGTTATAGCTATTGTAAATGGGATGAAAAATAACTAAAATGTATTACAATACCTTATGATGAATATGATGAAATTTAATCATGTGATTCAGAATTGAATGTTAGAGCATGTACTGATCTTAAGAATATTAGTTGTTTATTTTCATATCATTTAGATAAATGTATTAAATTTAATGATGTTAATGTGGATTGTAATCATTTTTAAACTATTGGTAAAGTTAGTGAGTAAGTATGTGTATAAATTAATAAACCTGGATAATAGTGTCAATTTCATAATTATTAATGTATTGATTCAACTTTAACTTACTATCGCTGTAAAGGTTCATCAGCCAATAATAGATCTTGTTATGCAAATACTAAATTTTTGTGTAGATGGGATTCTAATTCATTATAATGTTATGAAAATTATACAAAAATAGAAGAATTATCATGTTTAGATAATATAAATATTGAATTATGTAAAAAGATAACAAAAGAAGCTTGTGTTTGGAATGATATATTAAAATAATGTGAAATTTTTAATACTATTAATTCAATTGATTTTGAGACTTTTAACAATACTGGAAATCATAAATTTAATGAAATAGCATGTCTATTAATAACAGGAGATGCATATTATTATGATTAATATTAATAAAAATGTCTTAAACTAACATCTAAAACAATAGATTGTAATACTTATCAAATGAATAAATATGCTTGTTTATATCATACATAAACCCATAATTGTTATTATGATGAATAAGAGATATTACCTAATAATAAATGTAAACCATTTATTTAAGATTAATCAATATGTTAGACTTAATGGCAGATAAATATAGAAGTATGTATGAATATATATAATCCTTGTATTTTTGATGTGGCTACATTATAATGTTAATCATTTGAATTCTTAGATACTATGACTTGTACTGATTTATCAAATTATTCCATTAATTTATAACATCCTAATAAAAGAGTTTGCTCATCTGTTGTTTAATCTTTAGAAGAAACTTTAGGAGAATTGTTATGTGTTGAAGATAAAGTAAATACATAGGAATGCAAATTCTAAAAATATTGTTTTTGGTCTAATTATTCATGTGAAATTTATCAAATAGTATATAATCATTTAGATTCAAAAAGTGGACAAGAACAGTCTTAAAAGGAATGTCCTGAATTCTAAAAAGTTGATACTTGTTTTGAAGAAATTACAAAGAATGAATCATATGGTAAAAATATATAATAATTAATTGAAAATAATTGGGTATTTATTAATGAGACTTGTAATATGCAAATTATCAAATATACTAGAAATCATACATATTATTAGCTATCTGATAATACTAATGTATGTAAAATATAGGAATGCTCAATTATAGAAAGAATATATTGTTATGTAATTACTATTATTGAGACTATAATTCCAATAAATGAAATTACACCTGATAATTATGATGCTTCAATTCATGATATAAAAGTTATTACTGATAATTATGATGAATGTTAGTATTTTTATTGTGGTTAATTTACTGATTATGATTGTAATATTGAGAAAGCTAAATGTTAAAGAAAAAAAACTTGTAAAAAGGATATAACATATCCTCATGATTAATACATAAATAATGATTGTACAATAGAAAATAAATATATTACTAATCATTGGTGCTTATTAGAAGAAAATTATATCATAAATTGTATTAGCCATTTTTCAAAAGCATAATGCTTAGAATTGAGTCCAAAATGTTTTTATGATGCTAATTAAGGAGGTTGTATGTAATTAGAGGGAAATGAACATAATATTGGAGATTGTAATTAAATCGCAAATGATTGTTATGTTAGTTAAAGTCATAATGCAATTTGTTAAAATGGAGAATCAACTATTCAACCAGGTGATAAATGCAAAACAGTATAAAAAGAATATAAGTATTGTGTACCTCTTACAACATATTAATCACCATATTTTTGTTCAGATATTTTAGAGACAGATGCTTAACCTATTTTATGTGCTAGAGCTGATGATGATTGTAGATATGATGGGAAAGCATGTATAAATTCAATGCCAAAACTTAAAGGAAGTGGATCATATCCTTGTGATAAGAGTTTTAGTAAATCAATATGTGAAAAATGTGGATGCAATTATACTTATTTAGGATACTGTTAATATTATAGATAAGAACCTTAATTAAATTAAGATAAATCTAATAAAGACTTTCTATGTTATTAAGTAAATCTATTAGATACAATTTATAAATAAGAAGTATGCACAAAAGTTGATTAAGCATGTGCATTTCTAGATAATAATTGTTTAGATGCTACTCATTATTCATGTAATTAATTATTTGAATTACCTGTTTCTTTAAAAGCATGTATGAAATGTTAAGAACATGCTACTAAATATGATGATATTTAATAGAAATGTTTAAATATTGATAATATTCCTAATTAAAACACTTGTAGTAATCTTAATTAATTAGCTTGTCTTAGAAAAACTGAAGGAGTCTAATGTAAATGGGAAAATTTTAAATGTAATACAATATCAATATTCGAAAGTGATAAAATTGAATGTTCTATTTTAAATTAAACTGCTTGTTATATTAAACAAATTAATATTTGTTGGGTTGATTAAACAACTTTTTAATGTGTCAATTATGATCCTTATTAGGGTAAATGTGATTTATTAAAAACTTAATCTCTTTGTGTAAGATCTTTATATGAAAATTGTAAATGGACTTTAAATAAATGTATTCAGAATGATGAAATAACTACTAATACATGTAATAATTTAAATCAATATTAATGTCTTAATGCAATAGATATAGCATGTGGATGGTCAGATTTATATGAAAATTGCTATGAATTATAATTTAGATATTAGCCTTATTCATGTAAGGAATTTTTGATTGATTATTAATATTAGTATATTAATCGTAATAATTACTTCACATGTACTTAAATTAAATATAAGGGGGGTTGTATTCATGATTAATATTATAAATGTAGAGAAGTTATACCTACTGATATTCTCTCTTGTGAAGAATCAATAATTTCTAATATTAATGAATATGCATGTATAAGATTAACTAAAGGATATTGTAAATTTGTTGATAATAAATGTTAAAAAACATAAGAATCTAATTTAGGTTGTTAATCTTATTTGAACTAATAAGCTTGTCTATTATAAGATTTTGCTTGTAAATTCGATAATTATTGTTAATCATATGTTATATATCATACTAGTGGTATAAGAGTATATTTTCCTTACACTGAAAAAGTTTGTTAATCTGCTGATTTCTATATCTATGGCTAAGTTGGTATAGGTTTAATATATAGTGTGGCATAATAAAAATGTATAGATATTACTAATAAAAATATGATGATTAATGATTGTAATTATGTTGGAATGAATAAGTACACATGTTTATTAAAGACAAATACATATTGTGAATTTTATGATAATTAATGCAGAAATATTCAGATGAAAGTAATTTCATAATTAAAGACTTGTAAATCTACTTTAAATTAATTTACATGTACAAAATTAAATGTATAATGCAAATTTTATAATAATTAATGTGTTCCAATTACTGATAAAGATAATTGCCATACCTTATAATATGAAAAATCAATTGTAAATCTTAGAATATGTTTAAATGATCATGAAACTCCTTGCATGTTTAATGATAAAACTTAGAATTGTGAAATAATAACAACACCTTAAAAATGTATAGGTCTAAATTATAAGGGATGTATATTCTTTACATAAGGATCTTATTGTGAATTCAAGAATTCGAAATGTATTACATCTTTTGGAAGTCCCAATTGTAAAGCTGATATTAATTAAGATAAATGTTTATCTATAATAACTAGAGGATAATTATGTTATTTTGATAAAAAACTTGGATGCCAAAATATTGATACTACTAAAATAGATATAAATAAATGTTATAAATCTGGATTATAAACAAATCCTTATACTTGTTCTAGAAGCATAGATATTCCATGCTTTTATGATAAGTAAAATAAATAATGTACTCGTTATACTGAATAAACTGCATATAGTTATTAATAAAATTATAGTATTTCCAATATTTCTTCATTTAATAAATGGACATGTTAAATGTACAATATATAAAAAGCTCTTATATGGAAGGAATCATGTTTAGTAGTTAAAAGTTCTGAATTGGTATATATAAAATGTAGTGATTTAGTAAATAAAATAGCATGTTTAAGTATTTAAACACCTTATTAATTTTGTCAATATAAAAATAATAAATGTTAAAATGCAAATTTGGATGATTTTAAAAATATGAGTTGTGATTAAATAATAGATATAAATTCTGGTGTATTTTGTGCACTTAATCAAAATAAAATTCCATGTGAATTCAATAAATCATTATTTAGATGTTAAATAGTTGTAAGTGAATCTATAAGTTGTGTTGAAAAAGATCCAGAAGAGAAAGGATACAATTAAACATGTTGTGAAAAAGATAAAAATAATTGTACTTTTGATGAAAATTGTTATAGATTGAATTATAGTGGATTTTAATTTTGTAAAGATATTAAAGTTGATGGTTAATATTAATGTAATTAAGTTACAGGTGAAGGATGTATGATTTAATAAAATATTTGTAAGAAAATTTATTATTAAGATTACAGTAATATTACTTGTGAATAAGCTAGTAATAGATTTGGATGTGTTAATATTTAAACATAAGATTAATATTGTTAATTTGATGGTGAATAATGTAAATAATAAGATTTAGTTTAATATAAAGATATTAGTTGTTTAAGTATAGTGAATATTAATAATTATAAATTCTGTGAATAAGTATCAGACATTGCTTGTACATATGATTTAAAAAAAAAAGAATGTAGAAATGTATATCAATAAGAAGAATTCTCATGTGAAAGAGGATTGAATAAAATTGCTTGTTTAAATTAAACAATTAAAGGATTATAATGTAAATTTCTAGAATATTGTTATGGTCCTAATAATGGAATTATGAATTGTAGTTATAATGATAAAGAATAATGTTGTAGAGAAGCTGATTCAATTGATACATGTTTAAATTAAAAGATTTATGAATGTGAATGGACAAATAATTTATGTTAAGCATCAAAAAATACATTAAATGAATGTGATTAAATAACAAATGGTAGTTTTTTAGTTTGTGCTTCAATAAAAAATACTCTTTGTGTATTTATTCCTACATTATACAAATGTGAAAGTTAAAAACCTAGTACATGTGGTTTATCATAAACAAGTTAATAATGTAAAAGAATGAAATCTATATCATGTATTTGGAATTTATAAGAAGAAATTTGTAATTATTCAGAATAATCAGCTTATTTAAGTTGTTAATAAATAAATGAAAGATCTGGAAATTAAAGATCTTGTATGAGTGTTGAAGTACCAGGTTAAATGTGTATATTTAAGGATGAATAATGTCTTTTATTTATATAATAAGAAGATACAAATAATTGTTTAGATAATATTAATAGAAATGCATGTATTTATTAAACAATAAGTGATTGTTAATGGATTAATTAAGTATATAAAGTTAATAAATACTAAAATTCAGATGAAGAAGAGATAGTATAAGGTGAATGTATGACAATTACTAATATAAATAAAATGTCTTGTTCATCAAATTTAAGTTATACAGCTTGTTTAAAAATAACTAAAATTGATTAATATTGTATTTGGAAAGATTTAAAATGTTAAACAATAGATTATTAATAATAATATACTCCTAATTAACTTATTTATGTTAATTTAAATGCATGTGGTTTAGTAAATAATGGAGATATAGTAAAGTATGATTAAAAATAAAAAAAATGTGTAATTATTGAAAATGTTTAAGAATTAACTTGTAATCCTGTAATATTTGGAATAAATGAAGCTGCTTGTTTAAGTATAACTACTTAACCTTGTATTTGGAATAGTATTGAAAAGATATGCTAATATTAAGATATTTTAATTGAATCTTAATAATGTGATAAACCTCATTGGAATGCTAAATCTTGTTCATAACTTAATATTAATTAACCATGTGGATATTATATAAATGGTTGTTAATTTGTTGATATAAATACAATTAAATGTACACATTCTGGATTAAATAAATTTGCATGTTTAAATATTAAATAATATCCTTGTATTTGGAAATAAGATAATAATAATTATTATTATTGTGATGATTATATTCCATATACTTCATGTGAATTAGTACCTATTAATGTCAATTTAAAGGTTTGTTAATTAGTTGATTTAGATGCTTGTTATTATGATATTAATAATAATAAATGTGAAAATAATAATTTATCTAAAATGAATTGTGATACATTAGGTTTAAATATAATTGCTTGTATAGAAATTGATGGATGTGTATTCTAAGAATATTGTCAAAATGTTAATAAATAAATTTATACTTGTAATGAATATTCAATTGCTAATTATAAAGTTTGTATGAATGCAATAGATAGTTGTAAATTCAATGAATTAACATATGGTTGTATTCAAGCTAATGAAGAATTATGTGATACCAAAGGATTAAGTTAATAAGGTTGTAATTCAAGTAAATGTACATTATTTAATAATTAATGTTTATGCAATAGTATTAAAGATAAAGATTGCAATTATATTACAAACATTGAATAATGTAATTCTCTATCTCATTGTATATATCTTAAATAATTAAATTAATGTAAATGGAAATAATGTGAAGATCAATCATATAATAATTGTGATGGTCTTTATATTAATTCATAATATTGTTATTCAAATAATTTATAATAATGTAAATCTGCTAAATAATGTGATGATATTCATAATCCATTTAATTAAAAATGTCCATCAATCAATAATGAACCATGTATTTATAATTCAAAATTAAATTAATGTTAATAACTTATTTGTGAAATACTCAATTAATAAGAATGTTTAAATTATCCATATTATTGTAAATATGAATAGTCTTGTACATTTATAGGTTGTAATAGTATATAAAAAAACAATTGTGATTCAAATATTTGTTATTGGAATTCAGATATGAATAGCTGTTTAGAGTAGATTGAATGCTCTTAAATACTTTAATAAAATAAATGTAAATAATAAAAATATAATAATAATAATTGTTAATGGGTTAATTATGAATAATAATCTTTTTGTACTCTTACTCCTTGTAGATATTTGCCAAATATTATTTAATGTACTGGTGTTTATATGGAAAAAGGAATTTGTGTCTTATTAACTGATTAAACTTGTGTATCATGTGAAGAAATTTAAAGTTCTTGTATTTGTCTTTAAAATAATGATTATTGTGATTATAATTTTAAAGAAATGAAATGTTATTCAAAGATTTGTGAAAATTATTTAACCAAAGAAGACTGTCCAGAAGAATATTGTGAATTTTAAGAGACTGTAATTATATTTATTTAAATAGTGCTTACCATAATGTAATTCTCTTTAATATTAATAATAATGTGATAATAAATAATATTGTATTTGGAAAGATTAACAATGTAAAAAAAAGGACTAATATGTTCGTGCTAATAATGAGGAAGAATCATATGGAGAATTAATATAATTAATACTATTAAGTATTTTGATTCTATAAATATGATATTATTAAGATATTAAAATATAATTAATTTAATATATTTCTATTAAAATATTAAATAAAGTACAGATGTTAACTCAAGGAGCTATTGAATTTATTTTTCAAGAAATTGCAATTCCTTTATATGTGCGAATAGAAAAATCAGAAAAATTATTCTTTTTACATGATGAAGATTGTGTACTTCACATTTGTTAAATTTATGATGGAATAAATAGAAGATAGATCAAAATTAAAAGTTAATATACTTTTCAATTATTATAATTATAACCAACCATTTAAATAATTAAATTAGGAAATCATGATGGAGATAAATGCATATTAGAATATCGTACATAATAATAAGTATTATTTTATTAATTAATTATTTTTATAGTAATTGATTCCATACAATATAAATTAGTATTTTGAATTGAATTAAGTCATTTTGTTCGATTAAACTAAGTTAACATAATTTAGCAAATAACCTAATCAAAGAATTAATATAAAAGGAAGATTAATTGATAAATTTAAATAAAAAACAAGTACTATTGGAAATACTTATAAAATATCAACAATAGCAGATTGCTTAAGTGAATCTTGTATTACAATTATTTCATTCCAAAATGATTGGAATGGAGTATTTGAACATAGGCTTGATTAAATAGAGATAAACTAGGAATTTATATTTCTCAAAATTATTAGTTATGAATATTGTGATAATGATCGAGGCATAAATGAAATTAGATATAGAATTGATAAGGATACGATCTTTTTCCCTTTAAATCCTATTTGGACTGACTATGATTAAATCAATTATTAAAATTTAGGTAAAATATTCAATATCTATGGTTGCATTTACAAAATTAAAAATATTTAAGAAACTGGTTACTAAGTTATTACTATAGTTAATTTTCAAAAATAAAAGGTAAACGTCATTATTAAATTACCTTTTGCTAAAGATTTTAAACTTAAAGAAAATACAATAGTAGGTTTTAAATAGATTAAAGTTATTTAGAAATAAAATTCTCATTTGGCTCTTTCATTCAATGATGAATCATAATTATGTACTCAAATTTAAGTTGAATACCATATAGATAATCAAAATCATTTTTAACCTCCTCATTTTGAAATATATAAATTAAAACATAAGAGCTATTAAGAAATTTAATAAAATAACTAAAATGGCTAATATTATAGAACTATTGGGAAATTTAAATCTTTTGAAATTTTAACTTAGAATGAAGAATAAACTTGTAAAATTACATTTGATAATAACTTAATTGTAATTGTTAAAAAAAAGAAATATATAAAACGTCTTTTAGGTATAATTAAATTCATAATTATTTATTAGATAGCATTACGTAATATCTAAATGAAAAATCAAGAATTCTTTAAAAGGAAGAAATTGGATTAAAATTTGAAGTAGAAGAACCTTTACTTTAGGATTTTGTGATAAAAGTTATTAGAATTGAAAATGAAGTAAAATATGAAATGGTAAAATTATATTCATGTGCTTATACATATGGTGAAGATGAAATACTAAAGAAAGTAAAAAAAGAATGAAAATATTATATACATAATCAATTAGATTATTAATTATTCACTTTATTTCATTTTCTAAGATATATTAATTAGATTCTTCAATAATATTAAAATAATTAATTAAATGTGCCTCATATTTTTTGTAAATTTATATATTAAATTTCATATTCTATTAAAATTTTAATGTTTTAAATTGAGACAGAAACTTCTAAAATTTGTATTGATTCAATTTTCTGCGTAAAAGAAAATTGTTAAAATAATCATTCGAGATTTTATTTAGGAATTTGTCTTGAATATTTAAGAATGGAAGAAGAATGGTATAAAAACTAAGATGAAGATTTTGAAAAAAAGAAATGTGATATATAGGAATGCAAATTATAACATTTAGACTAATCTAAATTAAAGAGTTCGTTATAATAATCTATAAATGGTATATTTCTTCATAATTTATGTTGCAAAAATGAATGTGATTGTAAATTAATTCATAAACCATGGGCTAATAATATTTGCATAAATGATATTATGAATGTCTGTCAGAAAAAAAAAAAGAATAATTGTTCATTAAATCATTTAACATGGAATTAACTAAAATAAAAGGCAAATGAATCATCAAAGATTAATTTCACAACCCCTGAACAATTATGTGAATCACAAAATTGTAACTGTTAATAACATTATCCATGGATGACAGATTAAAAAATTTGTATACCATTTCTTCAAGGATTTTGTCCATATATAAAATGTCTAAAAAATCATGTTGAATGGGAAGGTTTATCTCCAAAACAAAAGATAGAATAAAACTCATTATAACCTTGTAGTATAATTTATTAAGAGTTGAAACAAAAAGCAAATTCTTTTAGTTAAAAGCAATCTATTCAATTATAATGCGAAGAGGCTAAATTTCTTAAATTCAAAGAATCAATATTTCAATCTAATATTATTGATGTTGTTTTTATAATGGATCTAACTGGATCTATGTAAACATGGAAAATATAAATGGAAAATGCCATTGATGAAATAATTTAGTAATTTTAAAAAACAAATAAAGGACATTAAATAAGGTTTGGATTTGTTGGTTATAGAGATGAATGCGATAAAAATGAAAAAATCACTTATATTAATCTTACATAGAAAGTAGATGAATTTAAAAAATAAATATCAAAATTAGAAGCAAAAGGTGGAGGTGATACTGCTGAGGATGTTGTGGCCGGATTTGAAAAAGCATTGGAATTAAATTTCTCTCTTCATGAAGAAAGTTTACTCTGTACATTTTTGATTGCTGATGCTCCTTGTCATGGTAGAGAATATCATGATATTTCATCTGATAATTAAATTGATTCAGTTGAAAAGAATTACTTAGAAAATGTATTGAAAAAATATAAAAAAATCAAAGAATGCAATTTTTTATGTTGCATTAAAATTAATGAAACAACAAATAAAATGTTTTAAAAAATGTAATAAGTATTTCCTCTATTAACTATAACATCCTAAAAGTAACCAAAAGAAATTAGCGATTAAGTTCTTTTTACCCTTAAATAATCTTTGATACAATCCAAATCAATCCAATCAAAAATTAAAAATACTATTCAAATATAAGCATAATTTAATAAATATAAATTAAATATTTCACCCCCAAACTATTAATATAATAATCGCGCAAAGTATTGGCAAAATTTTTACAATGTTGTGGATTAATCTTTAAGGAAAGGAGGTACAGCCTTAGATATTGAATAACATATTAATGAATCTTTGTAATCTGATGATTAAAATTGCTCTACCTATATTTTTAAAGCATTTGATACTATTAATAATATGTACATCGCTATAAAAATTCCTAAATTCATAATTGATATGTATAGAGAAGGTAAATTAGATAAAAAATCAATTGATAAGGCTGAATAGTTAGCAAAAACCAGATTTTATTCATCCAGTTATGCTTGTTAAATGGCTCATTATTTTAATTAGAAAATATCAAAAATTTAAGAAATTCCTTCATTATTTTATGTATTACCTATTATTTATACACTAACAGAACCTTTTTTTGGTATGAATACAGTTTATGGAGAAACATTTATTAATATTTAACATTAATTTAAAAAGTACACTACTAATAGTCATCATAGTGAACCAAAATATTATTATTATTCTGTATTCAGTCATTTCTCATTTATAGAAAGTGGTCATACCTTAGTTATTACAGATTTATAAGGATGTGATAATATTCTTTCAGATCCATCAATATAAACTAAAAAAGGATTAATTTCTATTTTAGATTTCGATGAAACTAATCATAATGAAAAAGGAATTGAAATATTTTTAACAACACAACATCAGGAATGTAGTTACTATTGCTCATTATTATAATTATCAAGAGAGTAATTTAAGATTACAAATTCTTAAAAATTAGATTAAACCAAATGGTAAATTGCCCAAAAAACTAATATATATGGAATTTGTATTACATGCAGTTTATTCACATAATATGATTTTGATGCTTAAAAGTAGTAATAGGAAAAGGGTTATATTATGAATTGTCAGATTTGTAAAACTGAGAGTAATAAATAAATGTCTTTGGATTAACACTGCAATTGTTGTTTTGATATATATTCAGCATCTCTCAATATATCATTAAGAAATTAGACCGAAACAGGACGTTGTGATGATTGTAAGTAATTATGTTCTGACCTCAACTAATAGTGTTGTTATTATTGTGAAAGTTATTGTTTAAAAAATTAAAAAGAGATGAGAGTTAATGAATAATTAATTAGAATTTGTTCAAAGGGTTAAGCATATTTATGTTAATAAAAATGTGCAAAATGTTAAAAGCTTTACAATAACGATGTCATTTTATCAAAGGATTAATACAATAAGGGTATATATAAGTGTATTAAATGTGCTAAGGATTGATTATAAACATAATTTGGTTTTTTATTAACAATTTATTTTAGAATATAATATATATGAGTTATTTTATGCTCAATTCAATATATTTAATATAGATANCTTTGTAATCTGATGATTAAAATTGCTCTACCTATATTTTTAAAGCATTTGATACTATTAATAATATGTACATCGCTATAAAAATTCCTAAATTCATAATTGATATGTATAGAGAAGGTAAATTAGATAAAAAATCAATTGATAAGGCTGAATAGTTAGCAAAAACCAGATTTTATTCATCCAGTTATGCTTGTTAAATGGCTCATTATTTTAATTAGAAAATATCAAAAATTTAAGAAATTCCTTCATTATTTTATGTATTACCTATTATTTATACACTAACAGAACCTTTTTTTGGTATGAATACAGTTTATGGAGAAACATTTATTAATATTTAACATTAATTTAAAAAGTACACTACTAATAGTCATCATAGTGAACCAAAATATTATTATTATTCTGTATTCAGTCATTTCTCATTTATAGAAAGTGGTCATACCTTAGTTATTACAGATTTATAAGGATGTGATAATATTCTTTCAGATCCATCAATATAAACTAAAAAAGGATTAATTTCTATTTTAGATTTCGATGAAACTAATCATAATGAAAAAGGAATTGAAATATTTTTAACAACACAACATCAGGAATGTAGTTACTATTGCTCATTATTATAATTATCAAGAGAGTAATTTAAGATTACAAATTCTTAAAAATTAGATTAAACCAAATGGTAAATTGCCCAAAAAACTAATATATATGGAATTTGTATTACATGCAGTTTATTCACATAATATGATTTTGATGCTTAAAAGTAGTAATAGGAAAAGGGTTATATTATGAATTGTCAGATTTGTAAAACTGAGAGTAATAAATAAATGTCTTTGGATTAACACTGCAATTGTTGTTTTGATATATATTCAGCATCTCTCAATATATCATTAAGAAATTAGACCGAAACAGGACGTTGTGATGATTGTAAGTAATTATGTTCTGACCTCAACTAATAGTGTTGTTATTATTGTGAAAGTTATTGTTTAAAAAATTAAAAAGAGATGAGAGTTAATGAATAATTAATTAGAATTTGTTCAAAGGGTTAAGCATATTTATGTTAATAAAAATGTGCAAAATGTTAAAAGCTTTACAATAACGATGTCATTTTATCAAAGGATTAATACAATAAGGGTATATATAAGTGTATTAAATGTGCTAAGGATTGATTATAAACATAATTTGGTTTTTTATTAACAATTTATTTTAGAATATAATATATATGAGTTATTTTATGCTCAATTCAATATATTTAATATAGATATATTCATAATAATTATTTTAATAGTTAATTAATTCATGCTGGTTAATTATTAATATAATATTTTAATTATAAATTATAATAATATAAATTCACATTTTCATAAATAAATTCTTTTTATTGTTAAACACCAATTAAAAGAGTTAGAAATTAAATGAACTAAGAGATATCAAAAAAATAGAATTAATAAAAGAGAGATAAACAATATTTGGTATTAGTTTATGTTTATATACATATAATATATCATAAATTTTGACAACAAATATAATTTCCATCATTATAATCTTTTTCTGATAGAATTTAATTGAAATTATATTGAGCTTTACAAAGTTAACATTGTAAACCTTGTAAGTATTAATACCCATTTTTACAGATATATTAATTGAGATTTCCAATTTATTATAAATTTAATTAACAATGTTTCAAGCAGTATAAACATCGTTTTTGTTTGAGAATACAATTTGATTTACAAAATTTACAATAACCATAGACAGTTAAAGATAATAGATCTTCATTTGGATCATGATGATACATTTATGAACAGCATCTACATATTGCTTCAATTGCTTATTTTTCTAAATCTCTACAAATATCACATTTAATTTCTTTCATTTGTTAATATTAATCTAATGAATATAATCTTAATTATGAACAAGTTTCACATGTTATTGATATCATTTAATGATCTTATAAATTCCATACATGATAATCAATTTAAGGATTTGCTATTGAAAAATTAATCCTATTTAAATTAAGCTTTTAACAT